GCAAATTAACACATTTCTGCAAATGTGTTAAATTATAGCCCTGGTATAAAAGGGATAATCAACATGGACTCTATGGGTTCTCTGGAATATAATGCAACTCCGTGGAAGGTTAGTTCCACCCTTCTAGCGCGTTGTGGAACACACCTTCCACGTCGTTCATTATTTTCCATGGAACGCATAAGCCCCTCGTTGATTATCCCTTACATACTTTAATGTATTAAATGAATAGTTTAGTTCCAAAACGAACACTTTGAAGCTAATTTCTGAAGCTTCTATATTGCAATGGTCTAAACACTATAGAAATACAACGGATTTTACACAGCATACTACGACTCCCAGAGTGCATTTCAACTCCCATGGTGCAATGCTCTGTCCAGGGCTGCAGGCTGGCACAGACAAATGCGAGGTAGTGTAAATACAGTGGAAAGTATTCAGACCCCTTGACCTTTTCCACATTTTATTACGTTAAAGCCTTAATCTAAAATGGATTAAATAAATAAAAATCCTCATCAATCTACACACATTCTTAAAATAAAGTGGTGATCCTAACTGACCTAAAACAGGGAATTTTTACTAGGATTAAATGTCAGGAATTGTGAAAAACTGAGTTTAAATGTATTTGGCTAAGGTGTATGTAAACTTCCGACTTCAACTGTATGTACAGTTCAGTTCTGCCCACAAATGTTCTATAGGATTGAGGTCAGGGCTTTGTGATGGCCACTCCAATACTTTGACTTTGTTGTCCTTAAGCCATTTTCCCACAACTTTGGAGGTATGCTTGGGGTCATTGTCCATTTGGAAGACTCATTTGCGACCAAGCTTTAACTTCCTGACTGATGTCTTGAGATGTTGCTTCAATATATCCACATAATTTTCCTTCCTCATGATGTCATCTATTTTGTGAAGTGCACCAGTCTCTCCTGCAGCAAAGCACCCCCACAGCATGATGCTGCCACCCTCGTGCTTCACGGTTGGGATGGTGTTCTTCGGCTTGCAAGCATTCCCCTTTTTCCTCTAAAACATAACAATGGTCATTATGGCCAAACAGTTCAATTTTTGTTTCATTAGACCAGAGTACATTTCTCCAAAAAGTACGATCTTTGTCCCCATGTGCAGTTGCAAACCGTAGTCTGGCTTTTTTATGGCGGTTTTGGAGCAGTGGCTTCTTCCTTGCTGAGCGGCCTTTCAGGTTATGTCGATATAGGACTCGTTTACTGTAGATACTTTTGTACCTGTTTCCTCCAGCATCTTCACAAGGTCCTTTGCTGTTGTTCTGGGATTGATTTGCACTTTCGCACCAAAGTACGTTCATCTCTAGGAGACAGAACGAGTCTCCTTCCTGAGCGGTATGACGGCTGCGTGGTCCCATGGTGTTTATACAGTGAGGGAAAAAAGTATTTGATCCCCTGCTGATTTTGTACGTTTGCCCACTGACAAAGACATGATCAGTCTATAATTTTAATGGTAGGTTTATTTGAACAGTGAGAGACAGAATAACAACAAAAAAATCCAGAAAAACACATGTCAAAAATGTTATAAATTGATTCGCATTTTAATGAGGGAAATAAGTATTTGACCCCCACTCAATCAGAAAGATTTCTGGCTCCCAGGTGTCTTTTATACAGGTAACGAGCTGAGATTAGGAGCACACTCTTAAAGGGAGTGCTCCTAATCTCAGCTTGTTACCTGTACAAAAAACACCTGTCCACAGAAGCAATCAATCAATCAGATTCCAAACTCTCCACCATGGCCAAGACCAAAGAGCTCTCCAAGGATGTCAGGGACAAGATTGTAGACCTACACAAGGCTGGAATGGGCTACAAGACCATCGCCAAGCAGCTTGGTGAGAAGGTGACAACAGTTGGTGTGATTATTCGCAAATAGAAGAAACACAAAATAACTGTCAATCTCCCTCGGCCTGGGGCTCCATGCAAGATCTCACCTCGTGGAGTTGCAATGATCATGAGAACGGTGAGGAATCAGCCCAGAACTACACGGGAGGATCTTGTCAATGATCTCAAGGCAGCTGGGACCATAGTCACCAAGAAAACAATTGGTAACACACTACGCCGTGAAGGACTGAAATCCTGCAGCACCCACAAGGTCCCACTGCTCAAGAAAGCACATATACAGTCCCTTCTGAAGTTTGCCAATGAACATCTGAATGATTCAGAGGAGAACTGGGTGAAAGTGTTGTGGTCAGATGAGACCAAAATCGAGCTCTTTGGCATCAACTCAACTCGCCGTGTTTGGAGGAGGAGGAATGCTGCCTATGACCCCAAGAACACCATCCCCACCGTCAAACATGGAGGTGGAAACATTATGCTTTGGGGTGTTTTTCTGCTAAGGGGACAGGACAACTTCACTGCATCAAAGGGATGATGGACGGGGCCATGTACCGTCAAATCTTGGGTGAGAACCTCCTTCCCTCAGCCAGGGCATTGAAAATGGGTCGTGGATGGGTATTCCAGCAGGACAATGACCCAAAACACACGGCCAAGGCAACAAAGGAGTGGCTCAAGAAGAAGCACATTAAGGTCCTGGAGTGGCCTAGCCAGTCTCCAGACCTTAATCCCATAGAAAATCTGTGGAGGGAGCTGAAGGTTCGAGTTGCCAAACGTCAGGCTCGAAACCTTAATGACTTGGAGAAGATCTGCAAAGAGGAGTGGGACAAAATCCCTCCTGAGATGTGTGCAAACCTGGTGGCCAACTTCAAGAAACGTCTGACCTCTGTGATTGCCAACAAGGGTTTGCCACCAAGTACTAAGTCATGTTTTGCAGAGGGGTCAAATACTAATTTCCCTCATTAAAATGCAAATCAATTTATAACATTTTTGACATGCGTTTTTCTGGATTTCTTTGTTGTTATTCGGTCTATCACTGTTCAAATAAACCTACCATTAAAATTATAGACTGATCATGTCTTTGTCAGCGGGCAAACGTACAAAATCAGCAGGGGATCAAATCCTTTTTACCCTCACTGTACTTGCGTACTATTGTTTGTACAGATGAACGTGGTACCTTCAGGTGTTTGGAAATTGCTCCCAAGGATGAACCAGACTTGTGGAGGTCTACACATTCCCATGATGTCAAGCAAAGAGGCACTGAGTTTGAAGGTAGGCCTTGAAATACATCCACAGGTACACCTCCAATTCACTCAAATGATGTCAATTAGCCTATCAGAAGCTTCTAAAGCCATGACATCATTTTCTGGAATTTTCCAAGCTGTTTAAAGGCACAGTCAACTTAGTGTATGTAAACTTCTGACACACTGGAATTGTGATACAGTGAATTATAAGTGAAATAATCTGTCTGTAAACAATTGTTGGAAAAATTACTTGTGTCATGCACAAAGTAGATGTCCTAACCAACTTGCCAAAACTATAGTTTGTTAACAAGAGATTTGTGGAGCGGTTGAAAACCAAGTTTTAATGACTCCAACCTAAGTGTATGTAAACTTCCAACTTCAACTGTAAATGTGATATCAGTAAAAATATATTTTTTTTATACATTTGCCAAAAACTCTAGAAACCTGTTTTTGCTTTGTCATTATGGGGTAGTGTGTGTTTAATGATGAGGGAAAAAAACAAGTTGATCAATTTCAGAATAAGGCTGTAACGTAACAAAATGTGGAAAAAGTAAAGTGGTCTGAATACTTTCCGAATGCACTGAACAAAAATATAGAACGTACCATGCAACAATTTCAATGATTGTACAGAGTTACAGTTCATATAAGGAAATCAGTCAATTTAAATAAATAAATTAGGCCCTAATCTATGGATTTCACATGACTGGGAAGGGTCGCAGCCATGAGTGGGCCTGGGAGGGCATAGGCCCACCCACTTGGGAGCCAGGCCCAGCCAATCAGAATGAGTTTTTCCCCACAAAAGGACTATATTACAGACATAAATACTCAGTTTCATCAGCTGTCCGGGTGGCTGGTCTCAAATGATCCCGCAGGTGAAGAAGACTGAAGTGGAGGTCCTGGGCTGGCGTGGTTACACGTGGTCTGCGGTTGTGAGGCTGGTTGGATGTACTGCCAAATTCTCTAAAATGACGTTGGAGGCGGCTTATGGTAAAGAAATTAACATTCAATTCTCTGGCAACAGCTCTGGTGGACATTCCTTCAGGTCAGCATGCCAATTGCAGTTATGAGTGCATTTCACATTACTTTTGGGATGTAATCATATTATAATGCTCACACGAATGTCATGTTGAATACACAGAGTATACAAACATGAAGAACACCTGCTCTTTCCATGGCATAGACTGACCAGGTAAATCCAGGTGAAAGCTATGATCCCTTATTGATGTCACTTGTTAAATCCACTTCAAATCAGTGTAGATGAAGGGGAGGAGACAGGTTAAAGAAGGATGTTTAAAAATCAGGAAGTCGTTCCTAACTTTTGGTCTACTCAGTTTACATGTTCACATCATTATCACAAAAAAAGAATTTGAATTGAGTTGCTAAGAGAATAACGTTAGAATGCTAATGTAATGGGTAAAATAGTTAGTCGTTTTGGAACTAAACCTCCCTTCCACTGCACTGCTCTGTAACACCTTTTGCTTAGTAGTTGTTTCAGTGGGCTGGCCCTCATCTGCTTTGTAAACAAAGTATAGTTTTGTCAACAAGCTGCGGGCGTGGAGGTATGATGTTTTCGTTAGAAGAAGCTGTCGGCATTTTCTCTCCTTTTCTCTCCTACTACTGTGTGTCAGTGTGTGTGTGTCAGTGTGTGTGTGTGTGTGTCAGTGTGTGTGTGTGTCAGTGTGTGTGTGTGTCAGTGTGTGTGTGTGTGTCAGTGTGTGTGTCAGTGTCAGTGTGTGTGTGTGTGTGTGTGTGTCAGTGTGTGTGTGTGTGTCAGTGTGTGTGTCAGTGTGTCAGTGTGTGTGTCAGTGTGTGTGTTTGTCAGTGTGTGTGTGTGTGTCAGTGTTCTGACCAGTATAGGAGGCAGCCTCCACAGGTCCAGTTTCTTGGTGGCCAGGCGGTGGGTCTTGCACTTGGAGCAGTAGTAGAGCTCATCCTCTCCCAGCTCTTCCTCGCTGGTGAAGGCCTTCAGACAGCTGTCCAGACTGATGGGTTCAGCCTGGGCCCTGCGACTCTGCTGCACACTGCAGTGCTCCTCCACTATCTAGCGAGAGAGAGAGATAGACACCGGGAGAAGGGGGTTAGAAGGGACCGATAACCAGATAGAGACGGGCTTGTGACAGATCAGAGCCAGGGGATGTGATCTGATACGGGTAAAGCTCAACATATCTCCAGCACCTGGATGTGTGTATGTCATCTTCTCCTCTTGGATCTGAAGACTCACCCTCTCCTGTGTGGTAAGGGGAGGTGCAGGCCTGTACGGTTCCAGTATGTATAGATTGTAATGGATATACTATATGATATGATGTATATGACCTTCTCCTGTGAGGTCTGGTAGCAGAGGTATAGGGCTGTAGGATATTCTACATGATATACACTCAGTTTATTTAGGTACACACATCTAGTACCGGGTCGGATCCACCTTTTCCTCCAGAACAGCCCGAATTCTTCAGGGAATGGATTCTACAAGGTGTGGCGTTCAACTGTTGCTCAATTGCTAATCGAGGGACCTAACGTGTGCCAGGAAAACATTCCACATACACCATTACACCACCACCGCCACCAGCCTGTACCCGTTGACACCAGGCAGGATGGGTCCATGGACTCATGCTGCTTACACCAAATCCTGACTCTGCCGTCAGCATGACAGAACAGGAACCGGGATTCGTCGGAACGAGGCAATGTTTTTCCACTCCTCAAATTGTCCAGTGTTGGTGATCGCGTGCCCACTGGAGCCGCGCTTCTTCTTGTTTTTAGCTGATAGGAGTGGAACCCGGTGTGGTCGTCCGCTGCAATAGCCACATCCGTGACGAGGACCGACGAGTTGTGCGTTCCCAGATGCCGTTCTGCACACCACTGTTGTACTGCGCCGTTATTTGTCTGTTTGCGGCCCGCCTGTTAGCTTGCACGATTCTTGCCATTCTCCTTCGACCTCTCTCATCAACGAGCGGTTTTTCGCCCACAGGACTGCTGCTGACTGAATGTTTATTTGTTTGCGACACCATTCTCGGTAAAACGCTAGACACTGTCGTACGTGAAAAGCCTCAGGAGGACGGCCGTTTCTGAGATACTGGATCCGGCGCGCCTGGCACCGGCGATCACACAACGCTCAAAGTCACTTACGTCACTTGTTTTGTCCATTCTAACATTCAATCAAACAGTAACTGAATGCCTCGATGCCGTTCTGCCTGCTTTATATAGAAAGCCACGACCACGTGACTCTCTGTCTGTAGGAGCGAACCATTTTGGTGAACGGGGTGGTGAGTGTACATTACCCTCTCCTGTGAGGTCTGGTAGCGCAGGTGTAGGGCTGTCGGGTCCCAGTCCACAGCTATGCAAGCGTTTCCTACCGAGGCCCTGTCCTCCGTACAGTCCACCGCACAGCCTCGACAGAACCTGAACACACAGTCACACACACACACACACACACATGAGCAGAAGCACAGAGACGGTACAAAAACACACGCCGTTTCCCCTACACACGCCGTTTCCCCTACACACGCCGTTTCCCCATACACACGCCGTTTCCCCTACACACGCCGTTTCCCACTACACACACCGTTTCCCCTAAACACGCCGTTTCCCCATACACACGCCGTTTCCCCATACACACGCCGTTTCCCCCTACACACGCCGTTTCCCCCTACACACGCCGTTTCCCCATACACACGCCGTTTCCCCTACACACGCCGTTTCCCCCTACACACGCCGTTTCCCCCTACACACGCCGTTTCCCCCTACACACGCCGTTTCCCCCTACACACGCCGTTTCCCCCTACACACGCCGTTTCCCCTACACACGCCGTTTCCCCTACACACGCCGTTTCCCCTACACACGCCGTTTCCCCTACACACGCCGTTTCCCCCTACACACGCCGTTTCCCCTACACACGCCGTTTCCCCTACACACGCCGTTTCCCCATACACATGCAGTGGATACTGTAATAGAAGAGAAGTGTGTGTTTTGATGATGATGATGATGATGATGATGGAGGAGGCCTCACCTGTACCAGGGACACCAGGCACATGAGGTACCGTCCTTCCCTACCACTCTCAGTGTGAAGGGGTACTGGTAGCCCATACTGTCATCACTGTAGTAGGGGGAATAATAGACACAACATTATTAAACAACCTATAAACGATAATCACCTTCAGTCAATAAAAATTACCTTCAAATCAAGATAACCTTCCCGTCAGTTGGAAACTTCCTGAATAGCCCTGTTCAGTCAATCAAGGGGAGACTTGCCGACTAGCCCTGTGTGTGTGTGTGTGTGTGTGTATGTGTGTGTGTGTGTGTGTGTGTGTGTGTGTATGTGTGTGAGAGATGCGGTGCAGCGTGTGTGTCTGACTAGTCCTGTGTGTGTGTGTGTGTGTGTGTGTGTGTGTGTGTGTGTGTGTGTATGTGTATGTGTATGTGTGTATGTGTGTGTGTGTGTGTGTGTGTGTGTGTGTGTGTGTGTGGTGTGTGTGTGTGTGTGTGTGTGTGTGTGTGTGTGTGTGTGTGTGTGTGTGTGTGTGTGTGTGTGGTACTGACCAGTCCTGTGCGTGGTTGCTGGCCTCCTGCGGGGGCAGAGGGCTGGCCAGACGTGCCACCTGTATCCAGACAGCATCATACAGGTCCTTCTTACTGGTGTGGACCGTACAGGGAACGATCAGAGGCATCCCGAACAGACTGGCACGGTTCTTCTGACTGGACAGGAAATATAACTCCGTCCGCATCTACAGGAGGACACACAGGAATGAAAACAGTCAGAACCACGAACCTCCAGGATCAAACATGAGGAAGGGGGCCAGAGACCTCTAAAAGTATTCACCAGTTAATACTCAAGTTCACCCAGCGCCTCATGCCCAAGTTCCTAAATGTATTTCCTCATTGCAACTATCCTCTCCTTATTAGGAACTTTTAATTACTCTTTCTATAGATTTTATTTTAACAGGGTGTCATATTGAGCCCAAGTCTCTTTTTCAAATGTGCCCTGCACAATACAAAACACACACATCAATACAAAACACACACATCAATACAAAACACAATAAAATACTAAATGATAAAATAATGATCATAAAAACAAACCCAACCTTCACTTAGTGCACCCCCACTAATGTTTTCAAGCCTGAGTCTCCCCTGCAACAAGCCTGAGCCTCCCCTGCAACACATCCACGCCTGAGCCTCCCTGCAACATATCCACGCCTGAACCCCCCCTGCAACACATCCACGCACTGAGCCTCCCCTGCAACACATCCACGCCTGAGCCCCCCCCCCTGCAACACATCCACGCACTGAGACTCCCCTGCAACACATCCACGCACTGAGCCTCCCCTGCAACACATCCACGCCTGAGCCTCCCCTGCAACACATCCACGCCTGAGCCCCCCCCCTGCAACACATCCACGCCTGAGCCTCTGCTGCAACACATCCACGCCTGAGCCTCCCCTGCAACACATCCACGCCTGAGACTCCCCTGCAACACATCCACGCCTGAGCCCCCCCCTGCAACACATCCACGCCTGAGCCTCCCCTGCAACACATCCACGCCTGAGCCCCCCCTGCAACACATCCACGCCTGAACCCCCCCTGCAACACATCCACGCCTGAGCCCCCCCCTGCAACACATCCACGCCTGAGCCCCCCCCCTGCAACACATCCACGCCTGAGACTCCCCTGCAACACATCCACGCCTGAGCCCCTCCCCTGCAACACATCCACGCCTGAGCCCCCCCCTGCAACACATCCACGCCTGAGCCTCCCTGCAACACATCCACGCACTGAGCCCCCCCTGCAACACATCCACGCCTGAGCCCCCCCCTGCAACACATCCACGCCTGAACCCCCCCCTGCAACACATCCACGCCTGAGACTCCCTTGCTACACGCTTTGTAAATAAACAGAAGGGAATGCTGCCATCTTCTTACAGACAGAGAGGCTCAACCCACCGTTTGATACAATGGTGCGTTCTAAAAATGATCACCAGTCATGAATCTAAGGACACAATGGAAAACAGCATCTAGAGATTTCAGTGTGAAGCTGCTGCGTGCATGTACAGTCGTATTGGTCTTCACAAAGTTCGCTGCTTCAGTATTTTTAGATATTTTTGTCAGATGTTACTATGGTAACACTGAAGTATAATTACAATCATTCCATAAGTGTCAAAGGCTTTTATTGACAATTACATTAAGTTTATGCAAAGAGTCAATATTTGCAGGGTTGACCCTTCTTTTTCAAGACCTCTGCAATCCGACCTGGCATGCTGTCAATTAACTTCTGGGCCACATCCTGACTGATGGCAGCCCATTCTGGCATAATCAATGCTTGGAGTTTGTCCGAATTTGTGGGATTTTGTTTGTCCACCCGCCTCTTGAGGATCAACCACAAGTTCTCAATGGGATTAAGGTCTGGGGAGTTTCCTGTCCATGGACCCAAAATGTTGATGTTTTGTTCCCCGAGCCACTTATCACTTTTGCCTTATGGCAAGGTGCTCCATCATGCTGGAAAAGGCATTGGTTGTCACCAAACTGTTCTTGGATGGTTGGGAGAAGTTGCTCTTGGAGGATGTGTTGGTACCATTCTTTATTCATGGCTGTGTTCTTCTGCAAAATTGTGAGTGAGCCCACTCCCTTGGCTGAGAAGCAACCCCACACATGAATGGTCTCAGGATGCTTTACTGTTGGCATGACACAGGACTGATGGTAGCGCTCACCTTGTCTTCTCCAGACAAGGTGTTTTCCGGATGCCCCAAACAATCGGAAAGGGGATTCATCAGAGAAAATGACTTTACCCCAGTCCTCAGCAGTCCAATCCCTGTACCTTTTGCAGAATATCAGTCTGTCCCTGATGTTTTTCCTGGAGAGAAGTGGCTTCTTTGCTGCCCTTCTTGACACCAGGCCATCCTCCAAAAGTCTTTGCCTCACTGTGCGTGCAGATGCACCCACACCTGCCTGCTGCCATTCCTGAGCAACCTCTGCACTGGTGGTGCCCCGATCCCGCAGGCGAATCAACTTTAGGAGACGGTCCTGGCGCTTGCTGGACTTAATATTTGTGTCATTCTCAAAACTTTTGACCACGACTGTAGATATAATATCATCATAATCTAAAAACAGACAAAAGTGGCCTGGACAACGTCCTTCCTAAAAAGACATATCACTAGGGCAGCTTTGCACACTCTTGGCATTCTCTCAACCAGCTTCATGAGGTAGTCACCTAGAATGCTTTTCCAACAGTCTAGAAGGAGTTCCCCACATATGCTGAGCACTTGTTGGCTGTTTTCCTTCACTCTGCGGTCCAACTCATCCCAAACCATCTCAAATTGGTTGAGGTCGGGTGATCGTGGAGGCCAGGTCATCTGAAGCAGCACTCCAACACTCTCCTTCCTGGTAAAATAGCCCTTACACAGCCTGGAGGTGTGTTTTGGGTCAGTGTCCTGTTGAAAAACAAATGATAGTCCCACTAAGCGCAAACCAGATGGGATGGCGTATTGCTGCAGAATGCTGTGGTAGCCATGCTGGTTAAGTGTGCCTTGAATTCTAAATAAATCACAGACAGTGTCACCAGCAAAGCACCCCCACACCATCTCCTCCATGCTTCACGGTGGGAATCACACATGCGGAGATCATCCGTTCACCTACTCTGCGTCTCACAAAGACATGGCAGTTGGAACCAAAAATCTCAAATTTGGACTCATCAGACCAAAGAACAGATTTCCACCAGTCTAATGTCCATTGCTCGTGTTTCTTGGCCCAAGCAGGTCTCTTCTTCTTATTGGAGTCCTTTAGTAGTGGTTTCTTTGCAGCAATTCGACAATGAAGGCCTGATTCACACAGTCCCCTCTGAACAGTTGATGTTGAGATGTGTTTGTGACTGGAACTCTGTGAAGCATTTATTTGGGCTGCAATCTGAGGTGCAGTTAATTGCCGATATTGGAGGCTGGAAACTCTAATGAACTTATCCTCTGCAGCAGAGGTAACTCTGGGTCTTCCTTGCCTGTGTGTTCCTCAAGAGAACCAGTTTCATCATAGCGCTTGATGGTTTTTGCGACTACACTTGAATAAACGTTCAAAGTTCTTGACATTTTCCGGATTGACTGACCTTCATGTCTTAAAGTAATGATGGACTGTCGTTTCTCTTTGCTTATTTGAGCTGTTCTTGCCATAATATGGACTTGGTCTCTTACCAAATAGGGCTATCTTCTGTATACCACCCCTACCTTGTCACAACTGATTGGCTCAAACACATGAAGGAAAGAAATTCCACAAATTAACTTTTAACAAGGCACACCTGTTAATTGAAATGCATTCCAGGTGACTACCTCATGAAGCTGGTTGAGAGAATGCCAAGAGTGTGCAAAGCTGTCATCAAGGCAAAGGGTGTCTACTTTGAAGAATCTCAAATATAAAATATATTTTAACTTGTTTAACACTTTCATGGTTCCTACATGATTCCATGTCTTATTTCACAGTTTTGATGTCTTCACTATTATTCTACAATGTAGAAAATAGTAAAAATAAAGAAAAACCCTGGAATGAGTAGGTGTCCAAACCTTTGACTGGTACTGTGTATATATACACACACAGTGACTTCAAAAAGCATTCAGACCCCTTGACTTTTTCCACCTGTGTTAAATTCAATTGATTGGACATGATTTGGAAAGGCACACACCTGTCTATATAAAAGGCCCCACATTTGACAGTGCATGTCAGAGCAAAAAACAATCCATGAGGTCGAAGGAATTGACCGTAGAGGTCCGAGACAGGATTGTGTCGAGGCACAGATCTGGACAAGGGTACCAAAACATTTCTGAAGAATTGAAGGTCCCCAAGAACACAGTGGCCTCCATCATTCTTAAATGGAAGAAGTTTGGAACCACCAAGATTCTTCCTAGAGCTGGCCGCCCGGCCAAACTAATCACCGACAACGATGAGACAGCCTATAGGGAGGTGGTCAGAGATCTGGCAGTGTGGTGCCAGGACAACAATGTCTCCCTAAAATGTGAGCAAGATAAAGGAGCTGATCGTGGACTACAGGAAAAGGCGGGTCGAACAGGCCCCCATTAACATCGACGGGGCTGTGATGGAGTGGGTAGAGAGTTTCAAGTTCCTTGGTGTTCACATCACCAACGAACTATCATGGTCCAAAAACACCAAGACAGTCGTGAAGAGGGCACGACAACACCTTTTCCCCATCAGGAGACTGAAAAGATTTGGCATGGGTCCCCAGATCCTCAACAAGTTATACAGCTGCACCATCGAGAGCATCCTGACCGGTTGCATCACTGCCTGGTATGGCAAATGCTCGGCCTCTGACCACAAGGCACTACAGAGGGTAGTGCGTACGGCCCAGTACATCACTGGGGCCAAGCTTCCTGCCATCCAGGACCTCTATACCAGGCGGTGTCAGAGGAAGACCCTAAAAATTGTCAAAGACTCCAGTCACCCAAGGCATTGACCGTTCTCTCTGCTACCCCACGGCAAGCGGTACCGGAGCGCCAAGTCTAGGACCAAAAGGCTCCTTAACAGCTTCTACCCCCAAGCCATAAGACTGCTGAACAATTAATCAATTGGCCACCCAGACTATTTACATCACCCCCCCCCCCCCCCCCCCTTTGTTTTTACACTGCTGCTACTCGCTGTTTATTATCTTTGCATAGTCACTTTACCCCTACCTACATGTACAAATTACCTTGACTAACCTGTATCCCCGCACATTGACTCGGTACCGGTACCCCCTGTATATAGCCTTGTTATTGTTATTTTATTGTGTTGCTTTAAAAACGTTTTTACTTTAGTTTATTTAGTAAATATTTAACTCTATTTCTTGAACTGCATTGTTGGTTAAGGGCTTGTAAGTAAGCATTTCACTGTTGTATTCGGTGCATGTGACAAATACAATTTGATTTGATTTGGGGAGAAGGGCCTTGGTCAGGGAGGTGACCAAGAACCCAATGGCACTCTGACAGAGCTCTAGAGTTCCTCTGTTTAGATGGGAGAACCTTCCAGAAGGATAACCATCTCTGCAGCACTCCACCAATCAGGCCTTTATGGTAGAGTGGCCAGACGGAAGCCACTCCTCAGTAAAAGGCACATGACAGCCCGCTTGGAGTTTGCCGAAAGACACCTAAAGACTCTCAGACCATGAGAAACAAGATTCTCTGGTCTGATGAAACCAAGATTGAACTCTTTGGCCTGAATGCCAAGCGTCACATTTGGAGGAAACCAGGTACCGCTCATCACCTGGCCAATACCATTGCTACGGTGAAGCATGGTGGTGGCAGCATCATGCTGTGGGGATGTTTTTCAGTGGCAGGGACTGGGAGACTGTTCATCTTTCCCTCAATCCTGACTAGAGCAAAGTATAGAGAGATCCTTGAAGAAAACCTGCTCCAGAGCGCTCAGGACCTCAGACTGGGGCGAAGGTTCACCTTCCAAGAGGACAACAACCCTAAGTACACAGCCAAGATAACGCAGGAGTGGCTTCGGGACAAGTCTCTGAATGTCCTTGAGTAGCCCAGCCAGAGCCCGGATTTGAACCCCATCGAACATCTCTAGAGAGACCTGAAAATAGCTGTGCAGCGACGCTCCCCATCCAACCTGACAGAGCTTGAGAGGATCTGCAGAGAAGAATGGGAGAAACTCCCCAAATACAGGTGTGCCAAACTTGTAGCGTCATACCCAAGAAGACTCGAGGCTGTGATCGCTGCCAAAGGTGCGTCAACAAAGTACTGAGTAAAGGGTCTGAATATTTATGGAAATGGGATTTTCAGGATTTTTAAATGTTTATACATTTGAAAACATTTCTAAAAAACTGTTTTTGCTTTGTCATTATGGGGTATTGTGTGTAGATTGATGAGGGGGAACAAAACGATGTAATCCATTTTAGAATAAGGCTGTAACGTAACAAAATGTGGAAAAAGTGAAGGGGTCTGAATACTTTCCGAATGCACTGTGTATACACACGCACACAAACACAGAGGCTTCAGAAAGTATTCATACCCCTTTACTTATTCCACATTTTGATGTGTTACAGCCTGAATTCAAAAGGTATTAAATTGTTTTTAATCTACACACAATACCCCATAATGACAAAATTAAAACATGGTTTTAGAATTGTTTACTAATTTACAGAAAATGACATATGTAAATTAGATATTTATGTAATTATTCACACCACTGACTCAATACTTTGTAGAAGCACCTTTGGCAGCGATTACAGCTGTGAGTCTTTCTGGGTAAGTCTCTTAGAGCTTTCCACACCTGGATTGTGCAACATTTGCCCATAATTATTTTCAAAAAATTCTTCAAGCTCTGTCAAATTGGTTGTTGATCATTGCTAGACAACCATTTTCAGGTCTTGCAATAGATTTTCAAGTAGATTTAAGTCAAACTGTAACTTGGCCATTCAGGAACATTCACTGTCTTCTTGGTAAGCATAAACTGTAGATTTGGCCTTGTGTATTTTAGGTTATTGTCCTGCTGAAAGCTGAATTCATCTCCCAGTGTCTGGTGCAAAGCAGACTGAACCAGGTTTTCCTCTAGGATTTTGCCTGTGCTTAGCTCCATTCAGTTTATTTTTTATCCTGAAAAACTCCCCAGTCCTTAACGATTACAAGCATACCCATAACATGATGCAGCCAGCACTATGCTTGAAAAGATGGAGAGTGGTACTCAGTAATGTGTAGTATTGGATTTGCCCCAAACGTAACACTTTGTATTCAGGACAACCAAGTTAGGAAGGATGTCTGTATCTTTGTAGTGACTGGGTGTATTGATACACCATCCAAAGTGTAATTAATAATTTCACCATGCTCAAAGGGATATTCAATGTCTGCTTTTTTTTTTTACCCATCTTCTTTGTGAGGCATTGGAAAACCTGCCTGCTCTTTGTGGTTGAATCTGTGTTTGAAATTCACTGCTTGACTGTGGGACCTTACAGATAATTGTATGTGTTGGGTACAGAGATGAGGTAGTCATTTAAAAATTACGTTAAACACTATTAATGCACACAGAGTCCATGCAACTTATTATGTGACTTGTTAAGCTAATGTTTACTCCTGAAGTTATTTAGGCTTGCCATAACCAAGACATTTCAGCTTTTCATTTTTTATTAATTTGTTAACGTTTTGAAAAACATAATTCCACTTTGACACCTTTGAGGGTGTAACACAACAAAATGTGGTAAAAGTCAAGGGGTGTGAATACTTTCAGAAGGCACTGTATATTATTTTATTAGGTTCACCACCCCGTTCACGAAAATGGAACGCTCCTACCGAGAGTGAGTCACGTGGCCTGTTATATAAAGCAGGCAGACAGGCATCGAGGCATTCAGCTACTGTTTGACTGCACATTAGTATGGAGAAAATGAGTGTCCTAACCAACTGATCGTGGTCCAGTATCTCAGAAACGGCCGCCCCTCCTGGGCTTTTCACGCACGACAGTGTCTAGCGTTTTACCGAGAATGGTGTCGCAAACAAATAAACATTCAGTCAGCAGCAGTCCTGCGGGCGAAAACAGCTCGTTGATGAGAGAAGTCGGGGGAGAATGGCAAGAATGTGGCCCGCCTGTTAGATTGCACCAAACAGGCAAATAACGGCGCAGTACAACAGTGGTGTGTAGAACGGCATCTCGGAACGCACAACTCGTCGGTCCTCGTCACGGATGGGCTATTGCAGCGGACGACCACAGCGGGTTCAACTCCTATCAGCTAAAAACAAGAAGAAGCGGCTCCAGTGGGCACGCGATCACCAACACTGGACAACTGAGGAGTGGAAAAACATCGCCTGGAACATGACAGCGAGTTCTGTTTACTTGAGTGGCCTGCGCAGTCCCCAGACCTCAACCCAATAGAGCATCTTTGGGATGAGATGGAACGGGCTGTTCGCAGCGTGAATGTACCGCCGTCCAATCTGCAGCAACTGCGTGACGCCATCGCGTCAGCACGGACCAACATCCTTGTGAAACGTTTCCGACACCTTGTAGAATGCCCCGAATAATTCAGGTTGTTCTGGAGTACCTAATAAACTGGCCAGTGAGTGTACATATAACATTCTAATTCATTTATTCTATAAAATATTTGATTCTGTGGTACCCACCATCTTCCTGTGCATGGCGATGATGTACCCGATGAAGGGGCTGTCCTGGACGGGGGACACGTGTCCGTTGGGCACCCCCACCCCTCCATTGACCAGGCCTCTCTCTGTGGTTTGTCCGTAGGGCACCACAGTGCTGGGCATGCCGTTGGAGATCAGACCAGGCTTACCGGCAGGATGCCCTTTAGCTGCCACCGCCACACCATTAGCCATGGGCACAGGGGTGATGTCTGGAGAGGTGTCAGAGAGAGAGAACTAGTGTTACAGATGGACATGTCAGAGAGCCTTCTGGAAACAGTGAGTTGGTATTTCATGGGACTGTGAGGAGTATGGTAGGGTTATGGTCATAAGGAGAGGTACAGTCAAAAAGCTTCTCAACCAGTTATAATGTGTTTCTGTCTGTAAGGCAGGTGGCAGCTCTGGTCACTTCAGCCACAGTAGGGTCCAACAATTCCCACCACTGCCACCATGTATTACATTCTGCCAACCTCTAGAACCACCATGTATTACATTCTGCCAACCTCTAGAACCACCATGTTACATTCTGCCAACCTCTAGAACCACCATGTTACATTCTGCCAACCTCTAGAACCACCATGTTACATTCTGCCAACCTCTAGAACCACCATGTTACATTCTGCCAACCTCTAGAACCACCATGTATTACATTCTGCCAACCTCTAGAACCACCATGTTACATTCTGCCAACCTCTAGAACCACCATGTATTACATTCTGCCAACCTCTAGAACCACCATGTTACATTCTGCCAACCTCTAGAACCACCATGTTACATTCTGCCAACCTCTAGAACCACCATGTTACATTCTGCCAACCTCTAGAACCACCATGTATTACATTCTGCCAACCTCTAGAACCACCATGTTACATTCTGCCAACCTCTAGAACCACCATGTTACATTCTGCCAACCTCTAGTGTAGGAGGTTCTCACCTGTCTGTGTTGCAGAGGTGAGGGAGGTGAGGGAGCCTGGCACAGGGATCTCAAACGCACACAGGAAGCCGTTCACTGACAGACGCACCTTCTGGTTATCCTGAGGGAAGTTCTATAGCACACAACACACAATTACTACTATTGCTTCTCTCTGTATTGTACTATTGTGTGTGTGTGTATGTGCGCATCAGTGTGTGTGTGTGTGTGTGCATCAGTGTGTGTGTATCAGTGTGTGTGTGCGCATCAGTGTGTGTGTGTGTGCATCAGTGCGCATCAGTGTGTGTGTGTGTGTGTGTGTGTGCATCAGTGTGTGTGTATCAGTGTGTGTGTGTGCGTGTGTATCAGTGTGTGTGTGTGTGTGTGCGCATCAGTGTGTGTGTGTGTGTGCATCAGTGTGTGTGTGTGTGTGTGTGTGTGTGTGTGTGTGTGTGTGTGTGTGTGTGTGTGTGTGTGCGCGTGTGTGCGTGTGTGTGCATCAGTGTGTGTGTACCTTGATGTTGGAGGTGTGGACCTCTGCCAGTAGTATCTGGTCAGGCTTCAGCCTACACAGTTCACCCAGCTGTTTCTTCAGACCGGTGTACTTGTCATCCATGTTGAGCCTCAGTCCGAACCGTACAGGGGTAGAACCATCCAGCATAATGACTGACAGACAGACAGACAGACAGACAGGGTCAAGGAAGTTAATAGAAATATGTATATTGATCATTATTGTCTATGAGGATATTATTTGCTGCTTTTGAGGTCTGGGGAAACGGGCCAATGGCTGCCGCTTGCCTTCTATCATGGACCCGCACCATTCCAGGGTAAGGAAGTGCGCAGGAAAAATCATAAAAAAACTCTCCTCTGGCAAACGGTTCAGGTCAATTAAAACCAAAACCAACTAACCAACCGGCAATCTGGTCCATAGAGATCAAACCCTCCCACCCCTTTCCAGGGACCTGCCCCCCCCTCATCAGGGTATTTAGATCCCAGTCCTCACCAGTGATCTCCAGGTGCATGGAGCTGTCCATCGGGAGGGGTAAAGACAGGAAGTTGAAGGGGTCAAAGCGGGCGCTGATGTGGCCACACGTCTTGCACTTGACCTGGGACTTGAGCTGGCCGTGGAACAGATCCACCACGATAGAACGGTTCCTCCGCAGGTGGTTCTCCCACGCCTGACAAGGAACACACATGGAACCATAGAGGGGCGTAAAACACACACACAGCACTAATCCTGCTAATCACTCCTATAAACACACACACACACACACACTTGCCCATTAACTGTACATCAATACACACACTTCACAGGTCATCCACTCCTTAAGAAGTGCTTAGTGGATGGGCTGACATTCATTGACTCTCTCCTCTCTCCTGGTCTCTAGTCACCTAAGATGGACTCTCTCCTGGTCTCTAGCCACCTAAGATGGACTCTCCCTTCCTCTCCTCCCTGGTCTCTAGCCACCTAAGATGGACTCTCTCCTCTTTCTCCTGGTCCTCTATCACCTAAGATGGACTCCTCTCCTCTCTCCTGGTCTCTCAGTCAACCTAAGATGGACCTCTCCCTCCCTAGCCTCCCTCGTCTCTAGTCACCTAAGATGGACTCTCTCCTCTCTCCTGGTCTCTAGCCACCTAAGATGGGACTCTCTCCTCTCTCCTGGTCTCTAGCCACCTAAGATGGACTCTCTCCTCTCTCCTGTCTCTAGTCACCTAAGATGGACTCTCCCTCTCCTCGTCTCTAGCCACCTCAGATGGACTCTCTCCTCGTCTCTACCACCTAAGATGGGACTCTCTCCCTCCTCCTGGTCTCTAGCCACCTAAGATGGACTCTCTCCTCGTCTCTAGTCACCTAAGATGGACTCTCTCCTCTCTCCTGGTCCTCTAGTCCACTAAGATGGACTCTCTCCCTCGTCTCTAGTCACCTAAGATGGACTCTCTCCTCTCTCCTGGTCTCTAGCCACCTAAGATGGACTCTCTCCTGGTCTCTAGTCACCTAAGATGGACTCTCTCCTGGTCTCTAGTCACCTAAGATGGAACTCTCTCCTCTCTCCTGGTCTCTAGTCACCCAAGATGGACTCTCTCCTCTCTCCTGGTCTCTAGTCACCTAAGATGGACTCTCTCCTGTCTCTAGTCACCTAAGATGGACTCTTCCTCTCTCCTGTCTCTAGTCACCTAAGATGGACTCTCTCCTGGTCTCTAGTCACCCAAGATGGACTCTCTCCTGGTTCTCTAGTCAACCTAAGATGGACTCTCTCCTCTCTCCTGTCTCTAGTCACCCAAGATGGACTCTCTCCTGGTCTCTAGTCACCTAAGATGGACTCGCTCCTCTCTCCTGGTCTCTAGTCACCTAAGATGGACTCTCTCCGGGTCTCTAGTCACCTAAGATGGACTCTCTCCTCTCTCCTGGTCTCTAGTCACCTAAGATGGACTCCCTCCCATCTCTCCTGGTCTCTAGTCACCTAAGATGGACTCTCTCCTCTCTCCTGGTCTCTAGTCACCCAAGATGGACTCTCTCCTCTCTCCTGGTCTCTAGTCACCTAAGATGGACTCTCTCCTCTCTCCTGGTCTCTAGTCACCCAAGATGGACTCTCTCCTGGTCTCTAGTCACCTAAGATGGACTCTCTCCTCTCTCCTGGTCTCTAGTCACCCAAGATGGACTCTCTCCTGGTCTCTAGTCACCCAAGATGGACTCTCTCCTGGTCTCTAGTCACCTAAGATGGACTCTCTCCTCTCTCCTGGTCTCTAGTCACCTAAGATGGACTCTCTCCTGGTCTCTAGTCACCTAAGATGGACTCTCTCCTCTCTCCTGGTCTCTAGTCACCTAAGATGGACTCTCTCCTGGTCTCTAGTCACCTAAGATGGACTCTCTCCTCTCTCCTGGTCTCTAGTCACCTAAGATGGACTCTCTCCTCTCTCCTGGTCTCTAGTCACCTAAGATGGACTCTCTCCTCTCTCCTGGTCTCTAGTCACCTAAGATGGACTCTCTCCTGGTCTCTAGTCACCCAAGATGGACTCTCTCCTGGTCTCTAGTCACCTAAGATGGACTCTCTCCTCTCTCCTGGTCTCTAGTCACCTAAGATGGACTCTCTCCTGGTCTCTAGTCACCTAAGATGGACTCTCTCCTCTCTCCTGGTCTCTAGTCACCTAAGATGGACTCTCTCCTGGTCTCTAGTCACCTAAGATGGACTCTCTCCTGGTCTCTAGTCACCTAAGATGGACTCTCTCCTCGTCTCTAGTCACCTAAGATGGACTCTCTCCTCTCTCCTGGTCTCTAGTCACCTAAGATGGACTCTCTCCTCTCTCCTGGTCTCTAGTCACCTAAGATGGACTCTCTCCTGGTCTCTAGTCACCTAAGATGGACTCTCTCCTCTCTCCTGGTCTCTAGTCACCTAAGATGGACTCTCTCCTCTCTCCTGGTCTCTAGTCACCTAAGATGGACTCTCTCCTGGTCTCTAGTCACCTAAGATGGACTCTCTCCTGGTCTCTAGTCACCTAAGATGGACTCTCTCCTCTCTCTTGGTCTCTAGTCACCTAAGATGGACTCTCTCCTCTCTCCTGGTCTCTAGTCACCTAAGATGGACTCTCTCCTCTCTCTTGGTCTCTAGTCACCTAAGATGGACTCTCTCCTCTCTCCTGGTCTCTAGTCACCTAAGATGGACTCTCTCCTGGTCTCTAGTCACCTAAGATGGACTCTCTCCTCTCTCCTGGTCTCTAGTCACCTAAGATGGACTCTCTCCTGGTCTCTAGTCACCTAAGATGGACTCTCTCCTGGTCTCTAGCCACCTAAGATGGACTCTCTCCTCTCTCCTGGTCTCTAGCCACCCTAAGATGGACTCTCTCCTCTCTCCTGGTCTCTAGTCACCTAAGATGGACTCGCTCCTGGTCTCTAGTCACCTAAGATGGACTCTCTCCTGGTCTCTAGCCACCTAAGATGGACTCTCCCCTCTCTCCTGGTCTCTGCCACCTAAGATGGACTCTCCTCTCTCCTGGTCTCTAGCCACCTAAGATGGGCTCTCTCCTCTCTCTTCGTCTCTAGCCACCTAAGATGGACTCTCTCCTCTCTCCTGGTCTCTAGCCACCTAAGATGGACTCTCTCCTCTCTCTTGGTCCTAGTCACCTAAGATGGACTCTCTCCTCTCTCCTGGTCTCTAGCCACCTAAGATGGACTCTCTCCCTGGTCTCTAGTCACCTAAGATGGACTCTCTCCTGGTCTCTAGTCACCAAGATGGACTCTCTCCCTCTCTCCCGGTCTCTAGTCACCTAAGATGGACTCTCTCCTGGTCTCTAGTCACCTAAGATGGACTCTCTCCTCTCCTCCTGGTCTCTATTCACCTAAGATGGACTCTCTCCTGGTCTCTAGTCACCTAAGATGGACCTCTCTCCTCTCTCCCCGGTCTCTAGTCACCTAAGATGGACTCTCTCCTGGTCTCTATCACCTAAGATGGACTCCCCTCCTCTCTCCTGGTCTCTAGTCACCTAAGATGACTCTCTCCTCTCTCCTGTTCTCTAGTCACCTAGATGGACTCTCTCCTGGTCTCTAGTCCCCCTAGATGGACTCTCTCCTCTCTCCTGGTCTCTAGTCACCTAAATGGACTCTCTCCTCTCTCCTGGTCTCTAGCCACCTAAGATGGACTCTCCCTCTCTCCTGGTCTCTAGCCACCTAAGATGGACTCTCTCCTCTCTCCTGGTCTCTAGTCACCTAAAATGGACTCTCTCCTCTCTCCTGGTCTCTAGCCACCTAAGATGACTCTCCCCTGGTCTCTAGTCACCTAAGATGGACTCTCTCTTGGTCTCTAGTCACCTAAGATGGACTCCCCTCCTCTCTCTTGGTCTCTAGTCACTAAGATGGACTCTCTCCTCTCCCCCTGGTCTCTAGTCACCTAAGATGGACTCTCTCCTTTGGGTTTTAGTCACCTAAGATGGACTCTCTCCTCTCTCCTGGTCTCTAGCCACCTAAGATGGACTCTCTCCTCTCTCCTGGTCTCTAGCCACCTAAGATGGACTCTCTCCTCTCTCCTGGTCCTATAGTCACCTAAGATGGACTCTCTCCTCTCTCCTGGTCTCTAGTCACCTAAGATGGACTCTCTCCTGGTCTCTAGTCACCTAAGATGGACTCTCTCCTGGTCTCTAGTCACCTAAGATGGACTCTCCTCCTCTCTCCTGGTCTCTAGCCACCTAAGATGGACTCTCTCCTCTCTCCTGGTCTCTAGTCACCTAAGATGGACTCTCCTCCCTCTCTCCCTGGTCTCTAGTCACCTAAGATGGACTCTCTCCTGGTCTCTAGTCACCTAAGATGGACTCTCTCCTCGTCTCTAGCCACCTAAGATGGACTCTCTCCTGGTCTCTAGCCACCTAAGATGGACTCTCTCCTCTCTCCTGGTCTCTAGCCACCTAAGATGGACTCTCTCCTCTCTCCTGGTCTCTAGTCACCTAAGATGGACTCTCTCCTGGTCTCTAGTCACCTAAGATGGACTCTCTCCTGGTCTCTAGTCACCTAAGATGGACTCTCCTCTCTCCTGGTCTCTAGCCACCTAAGATGGACTCTCTCCTCTCTCCTGGTCTCTAGTCACCTAAGATGGACTCTCTCCTCTCTCCTCGTCTCTAGTCACCTAAGATGGACTCTCTCCTCTCTCCTGGTCTCTAGTCACCTAAGATGGACTCTCTCCTGGTCTCTAGTCACCTAAGATGGACTCTCTCCTCTCTCCTGGTCTCTAGTCACCTAAGATGGACTCTCTCCTCTCTCCTGGTCTCTAGCCACCTAAGATGGACTCTCTCCTGGTCTCTAGCCACCTAAGATGGACTCTCTCCTCTCTCCTCGTCTCTAGTCACCTAAGATGGACTCTCTCCTCTCTCCTGGTCTCTAGTCACCCAAGATGGACTCTCTCCTGGTCTCTAGTCACCTAAGATGGACTCTCTCCTCTCTCCTGTCTCTAGTCACCTAAGATGGGACTCTCTCCTGGTCTCTAGTCACCTAAGATGGACTCCTCCTCTCTCCTGGTCTCTAGTCACCTAAGATGGACTCTCTCCTGGTCTCTAGTCACCTAAGATGGACTCTCTCCTGGTCTCTAGCCACCTAAGATGGACTCTCTCCTCTCTCCTGGTCTCTAGCCACCTAAGATGGACTCTCTCCTCTCTCCTGGTCTCTAGCCACCTAAGATGGACTCTCTCCTCTCTCCTGGTCTCTAGCCACCTAAGATGGACTCTCTCCTCTCTCCTGGTCTCTAGTCACCTAAGATGGACTCTCTCCTGGTCTCTAGCCACCTAAGATGGACTCTCTCCTGGTCTCTAGCCACCTAAGATGGACTCTCTCCTCGTCTCTAGTCACCTAAGATGGCTGCCAGAAGATGCTCCAAAGGACTATGATGATGTAGTGATGTACTATACAGTCTAGTTTTTTACTGTTTGTGTTTATCGATTTTATTAACAGTGCTAAATTCTCTCTGGGAAAATAAAGATTGATTAATTGATTGAACGTGTGTGTGTTGGTTGATTGTGCGTGTGTGTGTGTGTAGTTGTGCGTGTATTTGTGCGTTTGATTGGTTTATTGATTGAACTCTGACCTCTAAGGCGACCTCCCAGTCGGGTCGTCCGTTGCTGTCCTTCAGCTCTACGTAGGGTTTCTCATGCACCCTGTTCAGGTCCTCATGGAGCCCGTCCAATAAGAACGCCAGAAGCTCCTGACTGTCCTGCTGCTGGAAGCCGTTGAACCGTGGGGCGTATTTCGCTATTGTCCACTAAACAGGGCGGTAGAGAGACAACCACATATTAGTCCATTCATTCATATCATAATGGCTGCGTTTACACAAGCAGACCAATTCTGATCTTTTTTCCACTCATTTGTGTTTTGACCAATCACATCAGATCTTCTTCAGAGCTGATCCGAATGGTCAAAAGACAAATTAGTGAAAAAAATATCAGAATTGGGCTGCCTGTGTAAACGTAGCCATATGGAGTCATTAAGACCATAGTACAAGCTATCGTCCAGTACGGGGGGGAGAATGGAAACTAAATTATTAAGGTAACAGTTTCACAGACATCTAGTTTCTTGCTTTACTATCGTCCACTACAGAGGGGAGAATGAGCAGTGTCTTCCGTAAGGACATGGAGTAGCCAGCCATATAGAACACGTAGCCAGCCATATAGAACACGTAGCCAGCCATATAGAACACGTAGCCAGCCATATAGAACACGTAGCCAGCCATATAGAACACGTAGCCAGCCATATAGAACACGTAGCCAGCCATATAGAACACGTAGCCAGCCATATAGAACACGTAGCCAGCCATATAGAACATGTAGCCAGCCATATAGAACATGTAGCCAGCCATATAGAACATGTAGCGAGCCATATAGAACATGTAGCCAGCCATATAGAACATGTAGCCAGCCAAATAGAACATGTAGCCAGCCAAATAGAACATGTAGCCAGCCATATAGAACATGTAGCCAGCCAAATAGAACACGTAGCCAGCCAGGGAGTTCCGGACTGGGGTGGGTCGGAGGGGCATGCCCACGGGGATTTTTTTTTAGAACAAGCTCTATTTTGGTGGTCTCTGGTAATAATAATAATAATAATAATAATAATAATAATAATAATATGCCATTTAGCAGACACTTTTATCCAAAGCGACTTACAGTCATGTGTGCATACATTTTTACGTACATTCTATTGCCTTGTTTCCATCTGATATACACAGCTAAATTATTGAATATTTTTAACGATTTTACCTCCTAGATTGGTCAAATTTGTTGTGGTATTTAGTAGAAAGACATGACTTTACAATTAAAATTGCTGAAAATGTATGAATTCAGTGTATTGCTAGTTGTTTTGGATATCGTCTCGGTCTGGGCCTATATGATCATGAAAATAAATTAGACTGCAGCCAACCAGAGCGCACAAAAATAACACAGGTACCGAGAGGTGGGACAGACAGAGTGACAAAGCAGCAGTTTCCCTCTATACCATCGTGAGATCACTAGAAGATGCATATCGTTCATTCTAGTGGCAGAAGGCTTTACAGACTTTTCTGACTAGCAAATTTAAACTTTTAAATTAAAAGAAGCCTAGTTAATTAATGAAGTGGAAAAAGTAGCCTGCTGACAAGCCTGTTATCGGCTATTTAGCCGACGGACTGGCGCTTTTAGAAAACACTGAACGAGAATATTAGTCATTCATATCACATACGGAGTTATTAAGGCCATAGTACAAGCTATTGTCCACTACAGGGAGAAAGGAGATCACATCCACTGTTGTGACGATCCATGCCATTTTTTTTTAGGTCCAGTGAAGGATTTATTAACCCACCCTGAGTTTGAGAGGAGCAACGTTCTTCTGTGTTCCACTCCACAGCTCCATCAGCAGGTCTCCATAGCATTTAGCCATGTGACCTCGCATCCCGATGGGGTTGGTTCTGGACACACAACACAAGTCAGTAATGTTAACCTTTTCACAATACATGCATGAATGCTCACAAACACACACACACACACACACAGCTACCTGTTGAGTTCATAAAGGTGTCTCCCTGAGATGAAGTAATCAGTGAGGGGCGTGGTGTTGCTCACACACTGGATACTAGAGTTCATAAAGCATGTGTTGCCTAGGTTACTGAGGCCCGTGGCACCCTTCTCCGTAGGAACTGGGGGGGGATAGACATGTACAGTATTAGGCTACATATTTACGTATACAGCACCAGTCAAAAGTTTGGACACACCTACTCATTCCAGGGTTTTTCTTTATTTTGACTATTCTATTTTGACCCGACCTCAACCCAATTGAGATGGTTTGGGATGAGTTGGACCGCAGAGTGAAGGAAAAGCAGCCAACAAGTGCTCAGCATATGTGGGAACTCCTTCAAGACTGTTGGAAAAGCATTCCAGGTGAAGTTGGTTGAGAGAAGGCCAAGAGTGTGCAAAGCTGTCATCAAGGCAAAGAGTGGCTATTTTGAAGAATCTCAAATATAAAATATATTTTGATTTGCTTAACACTTTTTTGTTTACTACATGATTCCATATGTGTTATTTCATAGTTTTGATGTCTTCACTATTATTCTACAATGTAGAAAATAGTCAAAATAAAGACAAACCCTGGAATGAGTAGGTGTCCAAACTTTTGATTGGTACTGTATGTTTGAAAGGTTTTAGGGGAGAAGGGGAGGGAGGGTAGAGACGTGAATCTATCATCCTAAATAATGAAAGTGAAAGCTCTTGATAACTGCATTGGAAATGTACGTACCGATAGAAGGGGCTTGTAAATGTAAAGTTGGATGATGATGTCAGTGACACCGTCCTGCGGTACCTTTATGTTGGTCCATTTTACTGCTGTTAGCGATGAAGGACATCTCTTCTGGCCAGCTCATGTCTTTGTTCCGAACTAAAAACACAAGATGAAGGTTTTATACATCAATGACTTACAGTACAAAGACCTGCTACCTTGTCTTTAAGTTTGCAGTCAGGGTTTTTTAACATTTCAACAGACTCAGCAAACTCAGCAGTCAGATGAAGTTATAATTAATTATAGCGCTGAAAAATATTTTTGAACGTACCCTTGATAAGTGTCTTTCTGAACGTATCCTTGATAACTAAGTGTCTTTCTGAACGTACCCTCGATAACTAAGTGTCTTTCTGAACGTACCCTCGATAACTAAGTGTCTTTCTGAACGTACCCTCGATAACTAAGTGTCTTTCTGAACGTACCCTCGATAACTAAGTGTCTTTTTGAACGTACCCTCGATAACTAAGTGTCTTTCTGAACGTACCCTCGATAACTAAGTGTCTTTCTGAACGTACCCTCGATAACTACGTGTCTTTCTGAACGTACCCTCGATAACTAAGTGTCTTTTTGAACGTACCCTCGATAACTAAGTATCTTTCTGAACGTACCCTCGATTACTAAGTGTCTTTCTGAACGTACCCTCGATAACTAAGTGTATTTTTGAACATACCCTCAATAACTAAGTGTATTTTTGAACGTACCCTCGATAACTAAGTGTCTTTTTGAACGTACCCTCGATAACTAAGTGTCTTTTTGAACGTACCCTCGATAACTAAGTATCTTTCTGAACGTACCCTCGATAACTAAGTGTCTTTTTGAACGTACCCTCGATAACTAAGTATCTTTCTGAACGTACCCTCGATTACTAAGTGTCTTTTTGAACGTACCCTCGATAACTAAGTGTTGCTCGTCCTGGATCTTCAGGCCCTCCAGAGTGTGGTCCTCATCATCCAACAGGGTCAGATAGTTCTGGTGGGGGAGGAGAACAGGGTCAGATGGTTCTGGGGGGAGGAGAACAGGGTCAGGTGGTTCTGGGGGGAGGAGAACAGGGTCAGGTGGTTCTGGGGGGAGGAGAACAGGGTCAGGTGGTTCTGGGGGGAGGAGAACAGGGTCAGATAGTTCTTGGGGGGAGGAGAACAGGGTCAGATAGTTCTGGAGGGAGGAGAACAAGGTCAGATAGTTCTGGGGGGGAGGAGAACAGGGTCAGATAGTTCTGGAGGGAGGAGAACAAGGTCAGGTGGTTCTGGGGGAGGAGAACAGGGTCAGATGGTTCTGGGGGAGGAGAACAGGGTCAGATGGTTCTGGGGGGAGGAGAACAGGGTCAGGTGGTTCTGGGGGAGGAGAACAGGGTCAGGTGGTTCTGGGGGGAGGAGAACAGGGTCAGATAGTTCTGGGGGGGGGGAGAACAGGGTCAGGTGGTTCTGGGGGAGGAGAACAGGGTCAGGTGGTTCTGGGGGGAGGAGAACAGGGTCAAATAGTTCTGGGGGGGGGGGGAGAACAGGGTCAGGTGGTTCTGGGGGGAGGAGAACAGGGTCAGATAGTTCTGGAGGAGGAGAACAGGGTCAGATAGTTCTGGAGGAGGAGAACAGGGTCAGATAGTTCTGGAGGGAGGAGAACAAGGTCAGATAGTTCTGGGGGGGAGGAGAACAGGGTCAGGTGGTTCTGGGGGGGAGGAGAACAGGGTCAGATAGTTCTGGAGGGAGGTGTGGATGAGGAGAGGTCAACATCTGCAAGTTTATATTTTCTCATGTCACCGTAATATCACTTATAATGTAGTTGTCGACATGCGATAGTTTCTCAAGAATACACACCTCGCCGTTGTAGAGCCACAGCCTCATGTCCTCGTCTTTGATGCGGAGCCTCTGAGACAGGTACAGGTGGATGTCCTTGATGGTGCCCACGCGGCTGAAACAGCCTGTATAGGCCAGGACACGCTTCAGAGGAGCATTGGGGGAGGGGCACGTTACCTGGAGGGGTGGGGGGGGTTGGGGAGGACGAATGAGGCAAGAGGGGGGGGGAGAGAGAGGGGGACGAGGGGGGAAGAGAGAGAGTGGGACGAGGGGGGGAGAGGAGGAGTATGGCCGAGGGGGGAGAGAGAGAGATGGACGAGGGGGAGGGGGAGAGAGAGGGGGGAGAGAGAGAGAGAGATGAGAGGGAGAGAGAGAGGGAAGGGGGGGAGAGAGAGAGAGGGGGAGAAAAGAGAGGGGAGAGGGGGGAGAGAGAGAGAGGGACGAGGGGGGGAGAGAGAGAGGGAGAGGGGGGAGAGAGAGAGGGGACGGGGGGAAGAGAGAGAGGGAAGAGGGGGGAGAGAGAGAGGGGGAAGAGGGGGGAGAGCAAGGAAGGACGCGGGGGGAGAGAGAGGGGCGAAAAAAAAGGGGGGAGGGGGAAAAAGGAGAGAGGGGGAGAGAGGGGGAAGAGGGGGGAGAGAGGGGAAGAGGGGGGGAGAGAGAGGGGGAGAGGGGGGAAGGAGAGAGGGGAAGAGGGGGGAGAGAAGAGGGGACGAGGGGGGAGAGAGGAGAGGGACGAGGGGGGAGAAGAGGAGGGGAGGGGGGAGGGGGGAGAGAGGGGAGGGGAGGGGGGGAAAAGGGGGAGGGGACGAGGGGGAGAGAGAGAGAGAGGGGGGGAAAGGGGGGGGAAAAGAGAAGGGGAGGGGGGGAGAGAGAGGGGACGGGGGGAGAGAGAGGGGGGGCAGGGGGGGAGAGAAGGGAGAGGGGGGGGGGGGAGAGAGAGGGGGACGAGGGGGGAGAGAGGGGGGAGAGAGGGGGGAAAGGGGGGAAAGAGGGGGGAGGAGGAGGAGCGGGAGGAGAGAGAAGGGGGAGGAGGAGGGACGAGGGGGGGGAGAGAGAGGGAAGAGGGGGGAGAGGAGAGAGGACGAGGGGGGAGAGGAGAGGGGAAAGAGGGGGGAGGAGAGAGGGGGACGAGGGGGGAGAGAGAGGGGGACGAGGGGGAGAGAGGGGGGACGAGGGGGAGAGGGGGGGGGGGAGGAAAAGAGGGGGGACGAAGGGGAGGGGGAGAGAGGGGGGGGGACGAGGGGGGAGAGGGGGGACGGGGGGGAGAGACAGAGGACGAGGGGGAGGGAGGGAGGGGGAGAGACAGAGGAAGAGGGGGGAGGAGAGGGGGACGAGGGGGGAGAGAGGGGGACGAGGGGGGAGAGAGAAGGGACGAGGGGGGAGAGAGAGAGGACGAGGGGGGAGAGAGAGAGGACGAGGGGGGGAGAGAGAGGGGACGAGGGGGGAGAGAGAGAGGGACGAGGGGGGAGAGAGAGAGAGAGGGACGAGGGGGGAGAGAGAGGGGACGAGGGGGGACGAGGGGGGAGAACACGCCAGCCTTTAGAGGACTATGAGCTCCCAAACTCATTAGAATTACTCAAAAGTCCTGTAATATTGTAAACACTCACACAGACAGACCGACTCACACAGACAGACCGACCGACTCACACAGACAGACCGACTCACACAGACAGACCGACTCACACAGAGACCTATTTACATTTAGAAAACTTGTTAAAATCAACACATTTTTACATCAGAGATAAAGAACAGTTTGGCTCATGGAGGATTAGTTGTAAGGAAGCAGCAAGAAAGGGGGTTTTAGATTAGCTAATTTAATTAATACAGACCGAGTCATTAAACAAGATTCAAATCTGATTCAATCAAAAAGGGTAACAAACATCTATATTAGTTCAGTTAATAAACAATTATTAAAAACAAATGGAAACGATTATTACTGATTTGAAAAGTAAAGCCAAAAAACAACAAAAAGCGAATCTTAATATGTGATTGATTGGTAATACCTTGAAAGCAAACAGAATGAATCAAAAAAGCCGTAAACAGCCTATTATCCCAGCAGCACAACCTTGCTCTTTGGTCAGTATGTCTGGTCTAGTCATTCTATGGAGCTTGCAACACCAATGATCGTGGGTTCGATTCCCGCTGAGGCCACCCATAGATAAAATGTATGCACACATGACTAAGTCACTTTGGATAAAAGCGTCTGCTAAATGGCATATTATTATTATTATATATGGTATTATTTCTATGCCTGGTCAGTTGGTATTTGTGACTGGAGCCAAACTAACTCCTCTGGGCCAGATATCTGACAGCACCGGTCCGATTAGATCAGCGCTCTAATACCTCATAGTGCCTCTGTGCAGCGCTCCCCCAATTTGATTACAATAGAGCTACTTTAGTGGAGGATCAGTCCCATAAAATCGCCTGGAATTAACAGACTTGACTAACTAGAAATCTCACATAATTTATAATATTTTTTACACTATAATTAGAAACCTACATAATCATTTTGTTTACATTGACTTGACATGGTGTAGCCCACGTCCCACTCCTCCATGCATGATGACATAAGAGATGGAATCAGCTGGCATGGGTTTACCACACAGTCACCAATCTGTTTAAGTAGGCTAATTGGCTAGCATTGTCATCAGCTGTTGTTTACCATTTCTATTGTCATCATTATAACACCTTTATGTAGGCTTTACGAAGGGGGTGTCAAGCTTCATAGCACCACTGTTCTGACAACAAGGCTATGCAGACAAGAGAGTAAGCGTTAGGCTCTCAGGGTCTTTTAGTACGGTCAGTTGGCACCATATCACCCCCCTATGGACCATGGACTCATCCTGCAGTCCATTCTAAGAGCTTGATTAGGGGCTGGACCAGTCCATTTTAGGGGCACGATTAGGGGTTGGACTGCAGTAGCAGCACTAGCGTTTTGGCGGCGCCTAGCAGGCCGTCTTTCTTTCTTTCTTTCTTTCTTGCTGCAGGCTTACGTTACCTCTGGGGAGGTGCTGGGGGAACATTCTCAGGCTGGTCATACCCATGTTAACCCAGATGTTGGACTGGGGGGTGCGCGTGGCGGCCTGCTGCCGCAGGAAGAGGAGGTAACGCGGGAAGAGCTCCAGCTCAGCACCGCCTGTTTTCGTCTGCTGGATCACCTGGAAAAGGACAGGAGGAGGAGAGTATTATGCATTCAACAATTACCTCTACCCGCTGCTGTCAGACTGTATAATAACTCTAGCTCTTAAATGGTTTTCCCCAAAGATTATATTTTTTTAACCATTTAAATATTTCAATTTCAAAGACAAATGTCCTGTAATGTTTCAAGTGTTTTGTATTCTGTTCTGTCACATATTATTATTGTGTTATGGATTTTAAAATTAGTGTTTTGTAATTATTAGTACTGTAAATTCTGCATTTCTTCAGTTTTATCTGTGAGCAAGAATAAATAAACTCAAACTGTAAGGGCTGAACCTTAACTTCAGGTACGGACACATAACTGTAACTTTCAGAAAAATCATCCACAATGGTGTGAAAATCTCTCAAGCTAGACCTGGTCCTCGAGGTGACCATCTATGGTTCAGTGATAGTGTGAGGGGTGGTTGTGTTGTGGTTCAGTGATAGTGTGAGGGGTGGTTGTGTTGTGGTTCAGTGATACTGTGAGGGGTGGTTGTGTTGTGGTTCAGTGATAGTGTGAGGGGTGGTTGTGTTGTGGTTCAGTGATAGTGTGAGGGGTGGTTGTGTTGTGGTTCAGTGATACTGTGAGGGGTGGTTGTGTTGTGGTTCAGTGACACTGTGAGGGGTGGTTGTGTTGTGGTTCAGTGATACTGTGAGGGGTGGTTGTGTTGTGGTTCAGTGATAGTGTGAGGGGTGGTTGTGTTGTGGTTCAGTGATACTGTGAGGGGTGGTTGTGTTGTGGTTCAGTGACACTGTGAGGGGTGGTTGTGTTGTGGTTCAGTGATAGTGTGAGGGGTGGTTGTGTTGTGGTTCAGTGATAGTGTGAGGGGTGGTTGTGTTGTGGTTCAGTGATAGTGTGAGGGGTGGTTGTGGTTCAGTGATAGTGTGAGGTGTGGTTGTGTTGTGGTTCCGTGATAGTGTGAGGGGTGGTTGTGTTGTGGTTCAGTGATAGTGTGAGGGGTGGTTGTGTTGTGGTTCAGTGATAGTGTGAGGGGTGGTTGTGTTGTGGTTCAGTGATACTGTGAGGGGTGGTTGTGGTTCAGTGATAGTGTGAGGTGTGGTTGTGTTGTGGTTCAGTGATACTGTGAGGGGTGGTTGTGGTTCAGTGATAGTGTGAGGTGTGGTTGTGTTGTGGTTCAGTGATAGTGTGAGGGGTGGTTGTGTTGTGGTTCAGTGATAGTGTGAGGGGTGGTTGTGTTGTGGTTCAGTGATACTGTGAGGGGTGGTTGTGGTTCAGTGATAGTGTGAGGTGTGGTTGTGTTGTGGTTCCGTGATAGTGTGAGGGGTGGTTGTGTTGTGGTTCAGTGATAGTGTGAGGGGTGGTTGTGTTGTGGTTCAGTGATAGTGTGAGGTGTGGTTGTGTTGTGGTTCAGTGATAGTGTGAGGGGTGGTTGTGTTGTGGTTCAGTGATAGTGTGAGGGGTGGTTGTGTTGTGGTTCAGTGATAGTGTGAGGGGTGGTTGTGTTGTGGTTCGGTGATAGTGTGAGGGGTGGTTGTGTTGTGGTTCAGTGACACTGTGAGGGGTGGTTGTGGTTCAGTGACACTGTGAGGTGTGGTTGTGTTGTGGTTCAGTGATAGTGTGAGGGGTGGTTGTGTTGTGGTTCAGTGATAGTGTGAGGTGTGGTTGTGTTGTGGTTCAGTGATAGTGTGAGGGGTGGTTGTGTTGTGGTTCAGTGATACTGTGAGGGGTGGTTGTGTTGTGGTTCAGTGATAGTGTGAGGGGTGGTTGTGTTGTGGTTCAGTGATAGTGTGAGGGGTGGTTGTGGACCATACATACCGGTCGTGGCAGGCTGAGGTTGGCTCCATACCAGTGGAACAGTGCCCTCCACACAGGCTCTGGTACCGTCTCAAAGTCCCTGCCTTCCACCAGCTGTAAGGACTGCCTCAACCGGCCTCCCTCCATGGTCAATGTGGGGGCCTGGGGAACAGGAGAGAGACTGGGGTGAAAAGAGGACACACATTGCCCCCTCTACTCCTCCATTACTGATGATGGATATACACAGGCCATGCCTAATGCCTGGCCGTATCGTCACAGAGAGACAGGAGGAAAGCGAGAGACAGAGACAGAATTCATTTTCTCCTTTCCCCCTTCTGATAACCAGGTGGCGAATCGCATCTCTGCATGTCTGGCAGACATATCAGTGTGGATGACGGATCACCACCTCAAGCTGAACCTCGGCAAGACGGAGCTGCTCTTCCTCCCGGGGAAGGACTGCCCGCTCCATGATCTCGCCATCACGGTTGACAACTCCGTTGTGTCCTCCTCCCAGAGTGCAAAGAACCTTGGCGTGACCCTGGACAACACCGTCGTTCTCCGCTAACATCAAAGCGGTGACCCGATCCTGCAGGTTCATGCTCTACAACATTCGCAGAGTACGACCCTACCTTACACAGAAAGCGGCACAGGTCCTAATCCAGGCACTTGTCATCTCCCGTCTGGATTACTGCAACTCGCTGTTGGCTGGGCTCCCTGCCTGTGCCATTAAACCCCTACAACTTATCCAGAACGCCGCAGCCCGTCTGGTGTTCAACCTTCCCAAGTTCTCTCACGTCATCCCGCTCCTCCGCACACTCTACTGGCTTCCAGTTGAGGCTCGCATCTATTACAAGACCATGGTGTTTGCCTACAGAGCTGTGAGGGGAACGGCACCTCCTTAACTTCAGGCTCTGATCAGACCCTACACCCAAACGAGGGCACTAAGTTCATCATCCACCTCTGCCTGCTTCCTGAATTTGTACGATATAGCCACCTCTGGCCTGCTAGCTCCCCTACCTCTGCGGAAGCACAGTTCCCACCTTCCGGAGACACTTGAAACCCTACCTCTTTAAGGAATACCTGGAAAAGTATAAAGTCACCCCCCCCATAAAACAAAAAAAGTGGTTGTCCCACTGGTTATCATAAGTTGAATGCACCAATTTGTAAGTCGCTCTGGATAAGAGCGTCTGCTAAATGATGTAAATGTAAATAATATGGAGGGCAAACACACACCTTCATGGGGTCTGTGTTGACCAGGGGCTGGTTGTCGATGGCTCCAGGCCTCTGAGCTGCCAGCTGGGACTGAGACTGGGACTGAGAGACGGAGGGGATGTGGCCGTTGACCCTGGAGAAACACTGGTTGTTGTCTGACACGTGTTGCCGGGCAAAACAGATCTCTGTGGCTGAGGGGCCGGCCTGGGGGTTCACCACTGAGGAGGAGGGGGGGGGGTGACGGCATCACAGGTACACTTTAAATTCAGGTTAAGGTACCCTTAGAGGGGTTGTAAAAGGTTTAAACGTAGTTTATAAAGAGTAAATCATTCATTAATAAACAGTTATAACCCATAGTTTGAAGTTGTAACAGTATGCACAGCGCTGCCTAGTGGTCTGTTCACTGACCTTTGCTGTGGGTCTCTGTGGCTTCAGAGGCGCTGGACACAACATCAGGGGACCTCTCTCCTGAGGGGCTGGCTGGGCTGGGGACCCCCAGACCTACCCCTACCCCTGGCTCCAGGGGGGCAGGCTCGACGGTGGCAGAGGCCTGAGGATTCCTCAGAGAGGAGAGGATAGAGGGCTGATCCACCACGATGGACTTGTGGTCCTGGGGAGAGGGAAGGATGGTTAGTAACGTTGGTATGCTGTGATTATTCTGCTATTCAAGTTAAGTTAGGCCTATATTTGATGTGCTTCCCAAATGGCACCCTATTCCCTACGTAGTGCACTTCATTTGACCCATGGGCCCTGGTGCCATTTGGGACGCAACCCTTGGACTTCCACTCACATATTTGACGTAGTCTTTCCAGAGCATCCACCACTGGCTGGAGATGAGGAACCAGTTCTCACCAGGCTGGAGCCCATGCCTGTTCTCTCTGTCCAGCCACCCCCTGAACCACACACACACACACACACACACACACACACACACACACACACACACACACACACACACACACACACACACACACACACACACACACACACACGAGTTCAGAGCTTTAAACTGTAGAGGTGTAAAACATGTTTAAGAGTTGTTCAGGGGAAAGGAAAGGGGGATATCTAGTCAGTTGTAAAACTGAATTCATTCAACTGAAATGTGTTTAACCCAACCCCTCTGAATCAGAGATGTGCGGAGGGCTGCCTTAAATCGACATCCACGTCATCGGCACCCGGGGAACTGTGGGTTAACTGCCTTGCTCAGGGGAAGAACGACAGATTTGTTATGTGTATTACCTGATGATTTGTCCCTCCTCTTCAGGAGTGGCAGGTCGAAGCCCCAGGACAATGTGGCAGACCTGCAGAAACACAGACAGAGGGGCATGAAGAGAAAGCAAACTATAAACTGTGTGTGTGTGTGTGTGTGTGATCTGACCTGGAACAGCAGGTTGAGCAACTCGTTGGCCAGAGCGCTCTTCACACTCCAGATCTGGTAGTCCTCCAGGGTCAGGTGACCCAGCTGTGTGTGTGTGGGGGTCAAAGGTTAAGTCAAAGACAAGGGTTAAATGTCAGTGGACAGCAGCAGCATTATGAGATAATTTAAGTCCAATCACGTTACAGACAAAAACACCTAGAAGAGTCTGACCTTGGTCGTGTCGTGCCCCTTCAGGATTCCCTCCACTATGTCCGACACGTTGGTGAGCAACTCCTGAAAACAGGACAAGAGTCAAAACTTTGATAAGGTCGCTTACTTAACAAAGCCCAACCATCTCCATTACACTAGCCATTTAGCCTGTGTCCCAGCAGAACTTACAGAGAGTGTGTCTGTGTCCAGCAGAACTTACAGAGTGTGTCTGTGTCCAGCAGAACTTACAGGAAGTGTGTCTGTGTCCAGCAGAACTTACAGGAAGTGTGTCTGTGTCCAGCAGTACTTACAGGAAGTGTGTCTGTGTCCAGCAGAACTTACAGGAAGTGTGTCTGTGTCCAGCAGAACTTACAGGAAGTGTGTCTGTGTCCAGCAGTACTTACAGGAAGTGTGTCTGTGTCCAGCAGAACTTACAGGAAGTGTGTCTGTGTCCAGCAGAACTTACAGGAAGTGTGTCTGTGTCCAGCAGTACTTACAGGAAGTGTGTCTGTGTCCAGCAGAACTTACAGGAAGTGTGTCTGTGTCCAGCAGTACTTACAGGAAGTGTGTCTGTGCGATTGTCCTTCCACACCTCCAGAAGTGCGGCTACCATCTCATGGATTTCGTCTCGAGACAGAACCCCATCCCGGTCCACGTCAAACACTTTGAAACAAACTGAGAAACACAAGAGAGAAGGAGGGTACAAAATACTCCATAACCATAACATTGTAGTTTCTAACTACAGACTCCTCAAAGCAACAGTCGCTGTTCAAGCCGCAGTTGTACCAAAACATATTCTGCTAGTCATCTGTATTCCTCAGTGTGGTCTGCAGTGAATTACTTAGATCATTAACTAGAGTCTTAAATTCCAATATCTGCTGCCATTTCCAAGCATGAAAATGTAATTTCAAGGCCTGATGCGAATTTTGATGACAGGGTAGATTGCATACTAATGACTATCCAGAGGCAGTCGACAACAGTAAAAAAAAAAACGAGATAAGGAGATTGGGAAAAGCGCTACATCTCTTCCACTCACACGTACATGCACACACACACACACACACCATAATGTGTGAAAGGAAGCATTTAGGTTAGGAAATCACTACTTCCTATTAGAACATATCACATAGCAGCTCTTACATTTCTGCCTCTCGGCGACGGGCCCCCGGCAACAGGCAGACAGGCCACAGGAGATCTCCTTAAAGTCGATGTGATTGTCACGGTTCTCGTCGAAGGCATGAAACAAACCTGGAAAAACAACATCAAAAGTGATCCATTTTGTAGTAGAACATGGCTATTTGCGAAAGAGAAATAGCTTTGTGAGAAGGCTTGGTGTCAGATCTTTAGGGAACTCGTTCGAACCGTATCACAAGGATCACATTAACATTCATAAATGTTCATGTATTTGTGTATTTTACATCATGAACCACAGAAATTCTGACAGAAACGTTTAAATATTAATGATTAGGTTTATAAAAGTGGTAGACATGCATAACATGACTTATGGCTGCTTTTCACTCTTCTGTCACGGATTCAGCCGAGGCTGCTCCTCCTCCTTGCTCGGGCAGGCTTCGGCGTTCGTCGTCCCCGGAGTACTAGCTGCTACCGATCTATGTTTCGGTGTTTGTCTAGATTGGTTTGTATTGTTTACACCTGTGTCCCCATTAGTGTTCATTGTATTCCCTTTTAAAAAACCCTGTCTCTCATTTGTTTGTTGTGTGTGAATGTTCTCCGTTAGGTCGGCAGTGCTGTTGTATGCTAGTGTTGTTCCTCCCTGCTTGGAGGTTTTGTTGTTTTGTACTTTCATTACTGTGTTTAGTAAAGTACGTCTGCCAGTCGCTCGGTGTCCTGCGCTTGACTTCGTTTTCCGCATACACGTCAAACCTGACACTTCCTGCTTGTTGTTTTATAGTTTGAACGAACACATGGGGGTTTGGCCCAGCCATAGCCTTGGTGAAAAGGTGTGTCCTTGGGCTAAATCCCTGCCCACTCGAACGACCTTCATGGTGCCTCGCTCTGGGACCCAGTGGAGTGAGAGGAAGCATCTCTAGCGGCTACTACTGCTAATCAAGTTAGCTTGCTAGCTAACGTCAGCTGTTAACCTTGTGTGTTTGACAATGTAGCTATAAGCAAACGTTAGCTAGCTAGCGCAAAGACAACAACTTCCCCCCCCTTCACTTAGCGAAGGGTGAATGGGAGGAGAACATACCTTCACTTAGCGAAGGGTGAATGGGAGGAGAGAACATACCTTCACTTAGCGAAGGGTGAATGGGAGGGGAGACCAGCGGGACAAAGGTTTCCAAGTCAAAGCGGCCGGTCCTGGACTGGGCTTTCAGCAGCCAGTAGCGCTTCTCCAAGTCAATGATATCAGACTCTTCTACTGCAGGAGGGGAGAGGAAGACAACACTTTTTAAAATAATCAAAATGGCAACCAACCTAGAGTGGTTTTTGTAGATTCGCTGAGCGTCTTCTTACTAGAACATTTACATTTTAGTCATTTAGCAGACGCTCTTATCCAGAGTGACTTACAGTTAGTGAGTGCATACATTTTTCATACTGCCCCCCCCCCCCCCCGTGGGAAACGAACCCACAACCCTGGCGTTGCAAGCGCCATGCTCTACCAAATGAGCTACAGGGGACACAAGTCACATGACCTAGCAGTGTTAGCACAGTAAGGAAAGGAAACAACAGTTTAGATCTTCACCCAGCTTCAGTTTCTCTCAATATGGTGCTGTAGTGGACGACACGGACTTGGATGAAGATATGGAGCCATGCCGATAAGGTCAACACGTTTCATGGTTCCATTCTGATTATGGAGTTTTGTAATGAGCAGGAGGACAGAGGATAGTAGTCTTCTCAAGTACCCTGGTCCCAGATCTGTAAGTAGGGTTGCAAAAATTCCAGTAACTTTCCCCAAATTCCCAGGATTTGGAGGATTCAAGATTTCCTGCTTATTCCCTGATTCCGGGAATCTTCCATCCGGGATTTCTGGAAAACCTTGGAATTCTGGTTATCGGAATTTTGCAACCCTATCTGTAAGTGATTTAGTCTTTCCAGGTTAGTCTTGAGGTGAGACCATGACTCAGGGCCAAGGCTCACTAGATGCACCAATATAGCTACTGTTAAGTATGAAACCTGCCAGCCCCAGGGCCAGAGATCCTGGGTTCATCCTCCCACTACAATCATCGCGCTAATCCACAGCTTTACGCTAATAGGATTAGCCTAAGGCTCGCTAGCTCACACTAGCCCAGGCTTCCCTTTCCGCCACACTGTCCCATGAGTCATCCCATACATGTCCCTCAGACAGGTGTCAAAACACACATACACAAATTAAGACTGCACACCTAATGGCACCCTATTCCCTACATTGTGCACTACTTTTGTAGTGCACTATATAGGGAATAGGCTGCCATTTTGGGATGCAGACCAAGTCATATTCACTTTCTGAGAGGAGAGAAGACCAGTCCGGATATCCACCACAAAGCCAAGCTGGTTCCTAAGGCTCACTGCTAAGGCCCACATCCTAGTTTGCTGTCTGCATTTATAAGACTAATGGGTCAATAAGACAGTGATGCCACTGGGGGAGAATATAGCCAGGGTAGCTAGCCATTCAGCCCAGCAGTGAAAGCTGCAGATTGGGACGTGTGTGTGGATTGAGAGGGCCTTTCCATCTCCCTCTCCACCTCCATAGATCCTTCTCTCCCTCCCTCCCTCACTCCCTCCTCACTCACTCACTCCATCCTCCTGAGGTTTATTCCTGGAAGAGCCCACCTCAGCAGGGTACAGTTGACCTCTGTGGATTGAGTTCAAAGAGAGAAGTGGAGAGGTCAATCGGACTGATTGGAAACAAGTAATTACCAGCCGCTTCAGTGGTTGTGGTTCAATAACCTTTTAACCTCCGTTCAGTCAGAGAGAATGCTCTGAAACATCAGGCTTAAACAAATAGAGAACACAACCTGGGAGACAGAGAGAGAGAGAGAGAGAGAGGAAGAGAGAGGGTCTGTATGGAGATGGCATGGAGGAAGTAATAGTGGACAGATTAATATTGAGACGCGTGGAGTGGTGTGGGGGGGGGGCAGGTGTGTGTGGTTGGGACTGCCACTGACTGAATGAATGCCCCTTTAAGAGTAGAGCAACTAGACAACACTAAATCCTACAAGCACAAACACGCACGCACGTCGCACACACACACACACACACACACACACACACACACACACACACACACACACACATAAAACCTCAAGAAATAGGTCCTCCAACTAGTCTTTCAGAAACACTGAGAGAACACCAATATAGTCCTGTATCAATCCCAAACGCTAAACAAACATGAATGAAAGCTATTTGTGTTGTGCTTACTGAACGCAGGTCAGCATGGGCTAGCCTAGCGGTGATTAGTGCAGTGGTAAGGCCTGGTATGGACTAGCGAACAGAGCCTAGCGGTGATTAGTGCAGTGGTAAGGCCTGGTATGGACTAGCGAACAGAGCCTAGCGGTGATTAGTGCAGTGGTAAGGCCTGGAATGGACTAGCGAACAGAGCCTAGCGGTGATTAGTGCAGTGGTAAGGCCTGGTATGGACTAGCGAACAGAGCCTAGCGGTGATTAGTGCAGTGGTAAGGCCTGGTATGGACTAGCGAACAGAGCCTAGCGGTGATTAGTGCAGTGGTAAGGCCTGGTAGGGACTAGCGAACAGAGCCTAGCGGTGATTAGTGCAGTGGTAAGGCCTGGTATGGACTAGCGAACAGAGCCTAGCGGTGATTAGTGCAGTGGTAAGGCCTGGTATGGACTAGCGAACAGAGCCTAGCGGTGATTAGTGCAGTGGTAAGGCCTGGTATGGACTAGCGAACAGAGCCTAGCGGTGATTAGTGCAGTGGTAAGGCCTGGTATGGACTAGCGAACAGAGCCTAGCGGTGATTAGTGCAGTGGTAAGGCCTGGTATGGACTAGCGAACAGAGCCTAGCGGTGATTAGTGCAGTGGTAAGGCCTGGTATGGACTAGCGAACAGAGCCTAGCGGTGATTAGTGCAGTGGTAAGGCCTGGTATGGACTAGCGAACAGAGCCTAGCGGTGATTAGTGCAGTGGTAAGGCCTGGTATGGACTAGCGAACAGAGCCTAGCGGTGATTAGTGCAGTGGTAAGGCCTGGTATGGGACTAGCGAACAGAGCCTAGCGGTGATTAGTGCAGTGGTAAGGCCTGGTAGGGACTAGCGAACAGAGCCTAGCGGTGATTAGTGCAGTGGTAAGGCCTGGTGATAGGAACAGGCCTAGCGGTGATTAGGGGTAAGGCCTGGTATGGACTAGCGAACAGAGCCTAGCGGTGATTAGTGCAGTGGTAAGGCCTGGTATGGACTAGCGAACAGAGCCTAGCGGTGATTAGTGCAGTGGTAAGGCCTGTAGGACTAGCGACAGAGCCTAGCGGGATTAGTGCGTAAGGCACTGGATCATAAGCAGCGCTGAGTATAGGAAGTAGGAAGGAGGAAGCAGAGCTAGGGGGATAAATACGCTCATCTGTTGCTGTGAGTAACTCAGTGTAGGACTCCAGCTGCTGAACTGTAATATCGAAACTGATTACCTCTAGGACGGCCCAGCGTTCATCCCTCTAGCTAGTATGACTGAGACTGACGGCTCCGGATGTTCATCCCCTCTTAGCTAGCCACTGACTGAGACGTGACTGACTCAGGAAGTCCTGCCCTGAGCTAGCACGACTGCGGGCTTAGTGAGTGGTACCTGGTCATGCCTAGCAGAGCTACGTACTGTCAGTGGTAAGGCCTGGTACAGCGCTAGCACACCACCTAGCGTAGCTAGCTCAAACATGACTTGACTGACTCCAAGGGACATGTCCTCATCCCCTCTCTAGATAGCTCACGGGACTGACTGACTGACTCATAGGCATGTCTCATACCCCTCGCTAGCTAGCCTCACTGACTGACGACTCCAGGACATGTCTCATACCCGGTCGCTAGCTAGCTCACTGACTGGACTACCTGGAACTCCAGGACATGTCTCATCCCCTCGCTAGCTAGCTCACTGACTGACTGACTGACTCCAGGACATGTCTCATCCCCTCGCTAGCTAGCTCACCGACTGACTGACTGACTCCAGGACATGTCTCATCCCCTCTCTAGCTAGCTCACTGACCGACTGACTGACTCCAGGACATGTCTCATCCCCTCGCTAGCTAGCTCACTGACTGACTCCTGGACCTGTTATTTACTATGGTGCACTGCAGCACCATAGGGCTCTGGTTAAAAGTAGTACACTATTATAGAGAATAAGGTGCCACCTGTTAAAAAGCCATCACCCGGTTACGTAACCCTCACCTTAGAGGCTGCTGCCCAATATAAATAGACTTGAAATCACTGGCCACTTTAAAAATGGAACACTAGTCACTATAAATAATGTTTATATATTTAAAATAAATAATGTTTATATATATATTTCTTAATTCCATTATTTTACTTTTAGATTTGTGTGTATTGTTAGATATTACTGCACTGTTGGAGCTAGGAACACAAGCATTTCGCTACAACCGCAATAACATCTGCTAAACATGTGTCTGTGACCAATAAAATTTCATTTGATTTGATTTGGGACGCACTTCTTAGTTTAGCACGCTAGGTTAACCGCTAGGCTAAATGGCTAACCTTCCGTTTCAGGACAGGACTGTACATGGCTGGTTGAGACTGATCTCTTTTAAAAATGGCTGGAGTTTGAAGTTTGAGCCTGTTTAAAAAGGCTGACAGTATTTTGTTGTTCTTAAACAAGAGGCTACATCTCCATGACTGAGTAGCCTGACATACAGAGAGAAATGATTGGCGTTCTACGCTTGGGTCTCGTGACAAGGTTAAAAGACATGCAGCAAGCGAGTTCACACAAGACCTCCAATTTACACTTCCACTATCTGAAAGTGAAAAGTGCTTCGTTGTACTTTTACTTCCTGCACCAACCACCACAACCAGACAGGGAGAGCATGAACACAGCAAGTACAACCGCTAACTCACTCCAACTATCGCTTCATTGCTAAAAGACACACTAGTGTCAGCGTTGACCACTTCCTAGGCAGTCCCAAATGGCACCCCATTCCCTATATAGTGCTCTACTTTTGACCATAGCCCTATGGGTCCTGGACAAATATAGTACACTTCATAGGGAGCCATTTGGGACACGGAGCTAGTCTACAGCGGTCCAGTGGCGTGCCCAGTACCCACCTAGAGGTGCGACTCTGTCGGAGTGGCAACAGAGGTACCAAACCATATTCCACCACACACGCCCTGGGACGTGCCGACAGGACTGGCGTGTACCATAGTAGACTCCACAGACACACGGCTAACAGCTCAGGAAAACACACCACGCTAACTCATGCCATCCTGTTCCAATCAAAGGATGTTCCAATAGTATTCGAATAATATCCCAACCGACAACAAGACTGTTAGTCCGCCATGGCCTCTGTTGTGTGTGTCCGGTCGGCGATGGCGTCTTAGCCAAGAGTGAAGTGGTTGTGTATGTTCTGGAAAGTCCATGCACGGATAGAGCGCTCGCCTCACGGCCAAAGCGTGCACACACACACACACTCCTGAACTCCCACACACACACACACACACACACCTACATACACACCGCTCGTAGAGTTAAAAGAGGATAATCTGGGAGTGGGCAGCAGCAGATTACGAGCTGTCTGCAGGTACTCTCTCTGATTGGCAGCAAAGATCTCTCCTGCTCTCTGATTGGTCTCAGGATAGGAAGCAGCTAAGATCTTTGATTGGTCTTGGACACAGCTACATGTAAGAGATTCCTTTCCAATTGACAGAAAAAGGAGGGACTTGACAGACAGAGAGGGTGACAAATACCAAATAACATGAAATATGTGCACCGAACAAAAACGGTCAGGTAAATTATCGGTCTTTTTTGGGAGATGCCATCCCTTTAAAAAAAAATGAATGATTTTTTTTTTTCCACCTGTATTTAACCAGGTAAACCAGTTGAGAACAAGTTCTCATTTACAACTGCGTCCCTTTCAGTAGAGGCTGTTTATTTCAAGTGTACAGTGAGGGGAAAAAAGTATTTGATCCCCTGCTGATTTTGTACGTTTGCCCACTGACAAAGAAATGATCAGTCTATCATTTTAATGGTAGGTTTATTTGATAAATTGATTTGCATTTTCAATGAGGGAAATAAGTATTTGACACCTCTGCAAAACATGACTTAGTACTTGGTGGCAAAACCTTTGTTGGCAATCACAGAGGTCAGACGTTTCTTGTAGTTGGCCACCAGGTTTGCACACATCTCAGGAGGGATTTTGTCCCACTCCTCTTTGCAGATCTTCTCCAAGTCATTAAGGTTTCGAGCCTGACGTTTGGCAACTCGAACCTTCAGCTCCCTCCACAGATTTTCTATGGGATTAAGGTCTGGAGACTGGCTAGGCCACTCCAGGACCTTAATGTGCTTCTTCTTGAGCCACTCCTTTGTTGCCTTGGCTGTGTGTTTTGGGTCATTGTCATGCTGGAATACCCATCCACGACCCATTTTCAATGCCCTGGCTGAGAGAAGGAGGTTCTCACCCAAGATTTGACGGTACATGGCCCCGTCCATCGTCCCTTTGATGCAGTGAAATTGTCCTGTCCCCTTAGCAGAAAAACACCCCCAAAGCATAATGTTTCCACCTCCATGTTTGACGGTGGGGATGGTGTTCTTGGGGGTCATAGGCAGCATTCCTCCTCCTCCAAACACGGTGAGTTGAGTTGATGCCAAAGAGCTCAATTTTGGTCTCATCTGACCACAACACTTTCACCCAGTTCTCCTCTGAATCATTCAGATGTTCATTGGCAAACTTCAGACGGGCATGTTTATGTGCTTTCTTGAGCAGGGGGACATTGCGGGCGCTGCAGGATTTCAGTCCTTCACGGCGTAGCGTGTTACCAATTGTTTTCTTGGTGACTATGGTCCCAGCTGCCTTGAGATCATTGACAAGATCCTCCCGTGTAGTTCTGGGCTGATTCCTCACCGTTCTCATGATCATTGCAACTCCACGAGGTGAGATCTTGCATGGAGCCCCAGGCCGAGGGAGATTGATAGTTATTTTGTGTTTCTTCCATTTGCGAATAATCGCACCAACTGTTGTCACCTTCTCACCAAGCTGCTTGGCGATGGTCTTGTAGCCCATTCCAGCCTTCTGTAGGTCTAAAATCTTGTCCCTGACATCCTTGGAGAGCTCTTTGGTCTTGGCCATGGTGGAGAGTTTGGAATCTGATTGATTGATTGCTTCTGTGGACAGGTGTCTTTTATACAGGTAACAAGCTGAGATTAGGAGCACTCCCTTTAAGAGTGTGCTCCTAATCTCAGCTCGTTACCTGTATAAAAGACAACTGGGAGCCAGAAATCTTTCTGATTGAGAGGGGGTCAAATGCTTATTTCCCTCATTAAAATGCAAAATCAATTTATAACATTTTTGACATGCGTTTTTCTGGATTTTGTTGTTATTCTGTCTCTCACAGTTCAAATAATCCTACCATTAAAAGTATAGACTGATAATTTCTTTGTCAGTGGGCAAACGTACAAAATCAGCAGGGGATCAAATACTTTTTTCCCCCCTCACTGTACATATCAGGGTAGGAGCTGTAGGGAGGAGCACTCACAGTGTGTGACTCCGGCCAGAGTTTGGTAGAAGGTGGGTGTGTCGCTGTCGTCTGTGAGGGTGACGCACACGCCCCCGGAGAGCAGCCAACGGGAGAAGGTGAACGCCTCCTTGTTCTGAAGGAGCCAGTTCTTAAAGCGCTCATAGTTGACTTTCTCCCCCTGAGACAAACAAAAACATCAACAACAACTTGTTCGTTATTATGAGCAAATCATAAAGTGGGTAGTGGGAGTACTTGAGGAAATAGTATTGTTGGGGAGATGGACAGAGAGCAGCATTTATATTATAGTGTATTGTGGAAGTGTCATGGCCACATAGAGTTACACATTAGTTACAAACAAATATAAAAACAGTGTACAAAACATTAGGAACACTTGCTCTTTCCCTGAACTAGACCACAGGTGTCAAACTCATTCCACGGAAGGAAAAATGGCTGCGGGTTTTCACTCCTCCCTTGTAAAGGTCATGACCTCAGTAAAATTCCACGTGACCGTTGAGTCACGGTAATGTCCTTTTATGCACTCCGGACATGCGCTGGTACTACCCAACTAGCTAACGATCATCGGGTCGCTAATGGCCTGGTGCTCAGGGCACTACTGTTCCTCTAACCACTCTCACATCAATGCAAATGCAATTGAAAAACACAAACACTTATCATCAAAACAGCATGTGCTTTTTAAAACTCACCTCACTGTGATTTATCAATTTGAAGAAAGACGTTCAATAAGAGGTTGAAACACACATACATACACACACACACACACACACATACAGTGGGGAAAAAAAGTATTTAGTCAGCCACCAATTGTGCAAGTTCTCCCACTTAAAAAGATGAGAGAGGCCTGTAATTTTCATCATAGGTACACGTCAACTATGACAGACAAATTGAGAATTTTTTTCTCCAGAAAATCACATTGTAGGATTTTTAATGAATTTATTTGCAAATTATGGTGGAAAATAAGTATTTGGTCACCTACAAACAAGCAAGATTTCTGGCTCTCACAGACCTGTAACTTCTTCTTTAAGAGGCTCCTCTGTCCTCCACTCGTTACCTGTGTTAATGGCACCTGTTTGAACTTGTTATCAGTATAAAAGACACCTGTCCACAACCTCAAACAGTCACACTCCAAACTCCACTATGGCCAAGACCAAAGAGCTGTCAAAGGACACCAGAAACAAAATTGTAGACCTGCACCAGGCTGGGAAGACTGAATCTGCAATAGGTAAGCAGCTTGGTTTGAAGAAATCAACTGTGGGAGCAATTATTAGGAAATGGAAGACATACAAGACCACTGATAATCTCCCTCGATCTGGGGCTCCACGCAAGATCTCACCCCGTGGGGTCAAAATGATCACAAGAACGGTGAGCAAAAATCCCAGAACGACACGGGGGGACCTAGTGAATGACCTGCAGAGAGCTGGGACCAAAGTAACAAAGCCTACCATCAGTAACACACTACGCCGCCAGGGACTCAAATCCTGCAGTGCCAGACGTGTCCCCCTGCTTAAGCCAGTACATGTGCAGGCCCGTCTGAAGTTTGCTAGAGTGCATTTGGATGATCCAGAAGAGGATTGGGAGAATGTCATATGGTCAGATGAAACCAAAATATAACTTTTTGGTAAAAACTCAACTCGTCGTGTTTGGAGGACACAGAATGCTGAGTTGCATCCAAAGAACACCATACCTACTGTGAAGCATGGGGGTGGAAACATCATGCTTTGGGGCTGTTTTTCTGCAAAGGGACCAGGACGACTGATCCGTGTAAAGGAAAGAATGAATGGGGCCATGTATCGTGAGATTTTGAGTGAAAACCTCCTTCCATCAGCAAGGGCATTGAAGATGAAACGTGGCTGGGTCTTTCAGCATGACAATGATCCCAAACACACCGCCCGGGCAATGAAGGAGTGGCTTCGTAAGAAGCATTTCAAGGTCCTGGAGTGGCCTAGCCAGTCTCCAGATCTCAACCCCATAGAAAATCTTTGTAGGGAGTTGAAAGTCCGTGTTGCCCAGCGACAGCCCCAAAACATCACTGCTCTAGAGGAGATCTGCATGGAGGAATGGGCCAAAATACCAGCAACAGTGTGTGAAAACCTTGTGAAGACTTACAGAAAACGTTTGACCTGTGTCATTGCCAACAAAGGGTATATAACAAAGTATTGAGAAACTTTTGTTATTGACCAAATACTTATTTTCCACCATAATTTGCAAATAAATTCATAAAAAATCCTACAATTTGATTTTCTGGAAAAAAATTATCATTTTGTCTGTCATAGTTGACGTGTACCTATGATGAAAATTACAGGCCTCTCATCTTTTTAAGTGGGAGAACTTGCACAATTGGTGGCTGACTAAATACTTTTTTTCTCCACTGTATATATATATATATATATATATATATATACACATAATTGCAAAAGGGTTTTCTAATGATCAATTATCCTTTTAAAATGATCAACTTGGATTAGCAAACACAACGTGTCATTGGAACACAGGACTGATGGTTGCTGATAATGGGCCTCTGTACGCCTATGTAGATATTCCATAAAAAATCTGCCGTTTCCAGCTGCAATAGCCATTTACAACATTAACAATGTCTACACTGTATTTCTGATCAATTTGATGTTATTTTAATGGACAAAAAATTGCTTTTCTTTCGAAAACAAGGACATTTCTAAGTGACCCCAAACTTTTGAACGGTAGTGTGTGTGTGTGTATATATATATATATATATATATATATATATATAGTGTTAAAGACCCTATGCCTTGACAGCTTTGCACACTTGTCATTCTCTCAACCAACTTCACCTAGAATGCTTTTCCAACAGTCTTGAAGGAGTTCCCACACATGCTGAGCACTTGTTGGCTGTTTTCCTTCACTCTGTGGTCCAATTCATTCCCAAACCATCTCAATTGGGTTGAGGTTGGGGGATTGTGGAGGCCAGGTCATCTGATGCAGCACTCTCCTTCTTGGTAAAATAGCCCTTACACAGCCTGGAGGTGTGTTTTGGGTCAGTGTCCTGTTGAAAAACAAATGATAGTCCCACTAAGCGCAAACCAGATGGGATGGCGTATCGCTGCAGAATGCTGTGGTAGCCATACTGGTTAAGTGTGCCTTGAATTCTAAATAAAATCACCAAAAGTGTCACCAGAAAATCACCCCATCACACCTCCTCCTCCATGCTTCACGGTGGGACCACACATGCAGAGATCACCCGTTCTCCTACTCTGCGTCTCACAAAGACACGGTTGGAACCAAAAATCTCAAATTTGGACTCACCACACCAAAGGACAGATTTCCACCGGTCTAATGTCCATTGCTCGTGTTTCTTGGCCCAAGCAAGTCCCTTCTTCTTATTGGTGTCCTTTAGTAGTGGTTTCTTTGCAGTAATTCGACCATGAATGCCTGATTCACACAGTCCCCTCTGAACAGTTGATGTTGAGATTGTTTTATTACTTGAAATCTGTGAAGCATTTATTTGGGCTGCCATTTCTGAGGCTGGTAACTAATGAACTTATCCTCTGCAGCAGAGGTAACTCTGGGTCTTCCTTTCCTATGGCGGTCCTCATGAGAGCCAGTTTCATCATAGTGCTTGATGGTTTTTGCGACTGCACTTGAAAAAACTTTAAAAGTTCTTGAAATTTTCCGGATTGACTGACCTTCATGTATTAAAGTAATGATGGATTGTCGTTTCCCTTTGCTTATTTGAGCTGTTCTTGCCATAATATGGACTTGGTCTTTTACCAAATAAGGCTATCTTCTGTATACCACCCATACCTTGTCTCAACACAACTGATTGGCTCAAACGCATTAAGAAAGAAAGAAATTCCACAAATTAACAAGGCACACCTGTTAATTGAAATGCATTCCAGGTGACTACCTCATGAAGCTGGTTGAGAGAATGCCAAGAGTGTGCAAAGCTGTCATCAATGCAAAGGGTGGCTACTTTGAAGAATGACTTGTTTGTTTACTACATGATTCCATATGTGTTATTTCATAGTTTTGATGTCTTCACTATTATTCTACAATGTAGAAAATAGTAAAAATAAAGAAAAATCCTGGAATGAGTAGGTGTGTCCAATTTTTTGACTGGTACTGTCCATATACACGGACACACACGTAAGTGCGATAACAGGAGTGTGTTGTGACCGAACCCCAGACTGAGTGATTTACATTTACATTTTACATTTTAGTCATTTAGCAGACGCTCTTAACCAGAGCGACTTACAGGAGCAATTAGGGTTAAGTGCCTTGCTCAAGGGCACATTAACGTCATTTAGCAGACGCTCTTAGCCAGAGCGACTCACAAATTGGTGCGTTCACCCTATAGCCAGTGGGATAACCACTTTACAATTTGGGGGGGGGGGGGGGGGGTTAGTGATGGAGAGGAGTGTGTTGTGACTGAGTGATGACTGGAGAGGAGTGCGTTGTGACTGAGTGATGACTGGAGAGGAGTGTGTTGTGACTGAGTGATGACTGGAGAGGAGTGTGTTGTGACTGAGTGATGACTGGAGAGGAGTGCGTTGTGACTGAGTGATGACTGGAGAGGAGTGTTTTGTGCGTCAGTCAAAGTGTCGTTCTGGGTGATTGACAGGTGACAGGACAGCAATCTGTGACTGACCTCGCTGAAGCACTTCCTTATAGAGGGCGGGACTTCCCCGTCCAATGCCCGTAGCACGGCCTCCATGTCGCCCCGCGCCGCATAGCCGCCCGACTCACTGGCAAACAGGCTGAAGAGGTCTGTGGTGGGACACACACTGTTAATTAGTTGGTCTTATCAGTGGCAGGCAGACTCAATAGAAGCTGCAGTCTATAGCCCTGTTCTAGTCATCATGCGCTTAGCTCTCTGCTGCCTCACACACATTTACATTTTAGTCATTTAGCAGACGCTCTTATCCAGAGCGACTTACAGTTAGTGAGTGCATACATTATTAATTTTTTTGTTTTTTTTTCATACTGGCCCCCCGTGGGAATCGAACCCACAACCCTGGCGTTGCAAACGCCATGCTCTACCAACTGAGCTACATCCCTGCTGGCCATTCCCTCCCCTACCCTGGACGACGCTGGGCCAATTGTGCGCCGCCCCATGGGTCTCCCGGTCGCGGCCGGCTACGACAGAGCCTGGACACATCCATCACACAATGTATTGAGACAGACACAGAGAGAGAGAGAGATACAGAGAGAGACAGAGAGAGAGACAGAGAGAGACAGACAGAGAGAGATACAGAGACAGACAGACAGAGAGAGATACAGAGACAGACAGACAGAGAGAGATACAGAGACAGACAGACAGAGAGAGATACAGAGACAGACAGACAGAGATACAGAGACAGAGAGAGATACAGAGACAGACAGACAGAGAGAGATACAGAGACAGACAGACAGAGAGAGATACAGAGACAGACAGAGACAGACAGAGAGAGATACAGAGACAGACAGAGACAGACAGAGAGAGATACAGAGACAGACAGAGACAGACAGAGAGAGATACAGAGACAGACAGAGACAGACAGAGAGAGATACAGAGACAGACAGAGACAGACAGAGAGAGATACAGAGACAGACAGAGACAGACAGAGAGAGATACAGAGACAGACAGAGACAGACAGAGAGAGATACAGAGACATACAGAGACAGACAGACAGAGAGAGATACAGAGACAGACAGAGAGAGATACAGAGACAGACAGACAGAGAGAGATACAGAGACAGACAGACAGAGAGAGATACAGAGACAGACAGACAGAGAGAGATACAGAGACAGAGAGAGATACAGAGACAGACAGACAGACAGAGATACAGAGACAGACAGAGACAGACAGACAGAGAGAGATACAGAGACAGACAGACAGAGAGAGATACAGAGACAGACAGAGACAGACAGACAGAGAGAGATACAGAGACAGACAGAGACAGACACAGAGACAGACAGAGAGAGATACAGAGACAGACAGAGACAGAGATACAGAGACAGACAGACAGAGAGACATACAGAGACAGACAGACAGAGAGACATACAGAGACAGACAGAGATACAGACAGACAGAGAGAGATACAGAGACAGAGAGAGATACAGAGACAGAGAGAGATACAGAGACAGACAGACAGAGAGAGATACAGAGACATAGACAGAGACAGAGACAGAGACAGAGACAGAGACAGAGACAGACAGACAGACAGAAAACATACACTTGGCCTTCTCCTCATCTCGTCCTCTGGTCAGCAGCACCAGGCCAATGATGAGGTTGTTAAAGTGCAGTCCTTTAGAGGTGCCTCCAAACGAGTTGTAGATCACCTGCAGGGAGAGTACAGAGAGAGAATAGGAAGATGGTGGTAACATATCTAGAGAAAAGGAAGATGGTGGTAACATATCTAGAGAATAGGAAGATGGTGGTAACATATCTAGAGAATAGGAAGATGGTGGTAACATATCTAGAGAATAGGAAGATGGTGGTAACATATCTAGAGAATAGGAAGATGGTGGTAACATATCTAGAGAATAGGAAGATGGTGGTAACATATCTAGAGAATAGGAAGATGGTGGTAACATATCTAGAGAATAGGAAGATGGTGGTAACATATCTAGAGAAAAGGAAGATGGTGGTAACATATCTAGAGAAAAGGAAGATGGTGGTAACATATCTAGAGAATAGGAAGATGGTGGTAACATATCTAGAGAAAAGGAAGATGGTGGTAACATATCTAGAGAATAGGAAGATGGTGGTAACATATCTAGAGAAAAGGAAGATGGTGGTAACATATCTAGAGAATAGGAAGATGGTGGTAACATATCTAGAGAATAGGAAGATGGTGGTAACATATCTAGAGAATAGGAAGATGGTGGTAACATATCTAGAGAAAAGGAAGATGGTGGTAACATATCTAGCCTTCCCAGAAGAGTGGAGGCTGAAATAGCAGCAAGGGGGGGGGGGGGGGGGGGTACCAACTCCATATTAACGCCCATGATTTTTGGAATGAGATGTTCGACGAGCAGGTGTCCACATACGTTCGGTCATGTTGTCTGTGCACACACACAGTAGCTATAAATATGCCAGTAGACACAGATCCGAGTTCAGGTCCAATTAACACCCTATCCCCTACATCAGGTATCATCAACTAGATTCAGCCGCTGGTCCATTTTTCCTTGAGCGGATGGTCAGAGGGCTGGAACATAATTACTAATTATTTGTAGACACGCTTACATTTGTATACGATCACTTATACAAAACATTAGAAACACCTTCTCTTTCCATGACAAATTGACCAATCAGTGTTGATGAAGGGGAGGAGACAGGTTAAAGAAGGATTTTTAAGCCTTGAGACAATTGAGACGTGGATTGTGTATTTGTGCGATTCAGAGGGTGAATGGGCAAGACAAAAGATTGAAGTGCCTTTGAACGGGGTATGGTAGTAGGTGCCAGGCGCACCGGTTTATGTCAAGAACTGCAACACTGCTGGGTTTTTCCACGCTCAACAGTTTCCCCTGTGTATCAAGAATGGTCCACCACCCAAAGGACTTCCAGCCAACTTGACACAACTGTGGGAAGCATTGGAGTCAACATGGGCCAGCATCCCTGTGGAACGCTTTCGACACCTTGTAGTCCATGCCCTGACGAATTGAGGCTGTTCTGAGGGCAAAAAGGGGGGTGCAACTCAATATTAGGAAGGTGTTCCTTATGTTTTGTACGATCACTGTCTCTCTCTATTATGCGTGTGAATACTTTGGAACAGATTTTCCTAAATTGAAAATCACTTGGTGCTGATTCTCTGGTGTTTTTACAGTCTTACGTCCAACAATTAAAATTATTTGAATTTATTTTTTTTTGCTCCGAAAACTTGGGTGGGCCAAATAAATAGAAAATCACCCGCTAGTTGGGGAACCCTGCCCTACAGAGCCCTATGGACCACGGTCAAAAGTAGTGCACTACATAGGGAATATATAGTGCCATTTGGGACTCAGACCTAGGGGAGAGAAACTGAACGGAAAGTGGTATTCCTTATTGAATTACCCTTACACTTGTACACTACTTCATAGTAAACAACTAGAGACCTGCTAGGGAATCACGGTTGCCGGCTCTAGCACGCGCAGCCCAGCTACACCGGAGCCAGTGTCATCCCCCATTCATCAATGTGCAACTGTGTCACAGTCAGAGCCGACAGGGATGGTCTCTGTGACCTCACAGCCAGCCGGTGACAGTCACAGTGTCACAGTGTGTCACGGTACAAAACAGAAGCACCCTCAACGTAACACTTTAACACCGTCACATTCATTTGATGTTTTAAATTACTATTTCTTATTCCTTTGAATATATATATATTTTTTTTTTATGCACGAGTATTGGCAGTAGAATTGACATATTCAAAGCCTGTATATTTAGACATAATGCTTTAATATAGGCTTTACTCTGCTTGCTTAGCCTGAACCATGCCCTGACAACATATTTCAGCAGAACTTTGTGAGGACATTAACATCTAATATTATGATGCAAATGTTCTACTTTCTTAGGAATCAGGTCATGTGCACAAATATTGAAAGGCCAAAATAAATATGAACACGCCCTGTTGTTTTCTCTACTCTGCGTCTGACAAGAAGACAAACTGAACCACTTAATGAGAGGAGAGGAGAGGAGAGGAGAATATTATTTCCTTGGGATACATTTCACCTGAACATGACAGTGAAGTCCTAAATGCATTACCCTCTGGAAACGCTGCCATAAAGACTAATGTATAGACATCCTTTCAAATCAAGCTACTCACGCTGACTACAGCCTTTCTGTTTTACACAGCAGCACAAGCGCTGACAGAAACTGATTAGCAATTTGGATTGAGACAGAAAGAAAAGAGCAAATACAGCGTCTACATGGACTCACGTGGTCAATTCATACAGCGCCTACATGGACTCACGTGGTCAATTCATACAGCGCCTACATGGACTCACGTGGTCAATTCATACAGCGCCTACATGGACTCACGTGGTCAATTCATACAGCGCCTACATGGACTCACGTGGTCAATTCATACAGCGCCTATATGGACTCACGTGGTCAATTCATACAGCGCCTATATGGACTCATGGAGGCAATCCCTCAGGACAAACATATATAGTATATATATATGGTATATAGGCGTCCTCCGTATTAATAATGAATGGATTCACAACATTTGGATTACCAGAACAAAGAGACTCCAGGGAAAAAATGCCAAATAATAACAACAACGATGTATGATGAGATCCTGATGATGTGTGTGTGTGTGTGTGTGTGTGTGTGTGTGTGTGTGTGTGTGTGTGTATAGTTTGACTCCGGGTATTCACTGTGTGTGTGTGTGTGTATAGTTTGACTCCGGGTATTCACTGTGTGTGTGTGTGTGTGTGTGTGTGTGTGTGGTGTGTGTGTGTGTGTGTGTGTGTGTGTGTGTGTGTGTGTGTGTATAGTTTGACTCCGGGTATTCACTGTGTGTGTGTGTGTGTGTGTGTGTGTGTGTGTGTGTGTGTGTGTGTGTGTGTGGCCTGACTCCCTCCCTGTGTGTTAATCACAGTGATGAGTAGCCCGTAGCTGGGCCCTGCTGTCAGGCCTTGTGACGGACACAGCCTGGGGGTCTCCTATTGCCACTGGCCCAAGATGAACAGCCCTGGCCGGAGTCTGCTGCCTGATGGGCCCAAACACCACCATTACACTCCTTAGTTAAACCTTCAACACACAGCCTTTGAGCAGGTAGGTACAGTGAGGGGAAAAAAGTATTTGATCCCCTGCTGATTTTGTACGTTTACCCATTGACAAAGAAATGATCAGTCTATCATTTTAATGGTAGGTTTATTTGAACAGTGAGTGACAGAATAACAACAACAAAAATCCAGAAAAACGCATGTCAAAAATGTTATAAATTGATTTGCATTTTAATGAGGGAAATAAGCATTTGACCCCCTCTCAATCAGAAAGATTTTTGGCTCCCAGGTGTCTTTTATACAGGTAACGAGCTGAGATTAGGAGCACACTCTTTAAGGGAGTTCTCCTAATCTCAGCTTGTTACATATATAAAAGACACCTGTCCACAGAAGCAATCAATCAATCAAATTCCAAACTCTCCACCATGGCCAAGACCAAAGAGCTCTCCAAGGATGTCAGGGACAAGATTGTAGACCTACACAAGGCTGGAATGGGCTACAAGACCATCGGCAAGCAGCTTGGTGAGAAGGTGACAACAGTTGGTGTGATTATTCGCAAATGGAAGAAACACAAAAGAACTGTCAATCTCCCTCGGCCTGGGGCTCCATGCAAGATCTCACCTCATGGAGTTGCAATGATCATGAGAACGGTGAGGAATCAGCCCAGAACTACACGGGAGGATCTTGTCAATGTTCTCAAGGCAGCTGGGACCATAGTCACCAAGAAAACAATTGGTAACACACTACGCCGTGAAGGACTGAAATCCTGCAGCGCCCGCAAGGTCCCCCTGCTCAATAAAGCACATATACAGGCCCGTCTGAAGTTTGCCAATGAACATCTGAATGATTCAGAGGAGAATTGGGTGAAAGTGTTGTGGTCAGATGAGACCAAAATGGAGCTCTTTGGCATCAACTCAACTCGCCGTGTTTGGAGGAGGAGGAATGCTGCCTATGACCCCAAGAACACCATCCCCACCATCAAACATTGAGGTGGAAACATTATGCTTTGGGGGTGTTTTTCTGCTAAGGGGACAGGACAACTTCACCACATCAAAGGGACGATGGACGGGGCCATGTACCGTCAAATCTTGGGTGAGAACCTCCTTCCCTCAGCCAGGGTTTTGAAAATGGGTCGTGGATGGGTATTCCAGCATGACAATGACCCAAAACACATGGCCAAGGCAACAAAGGAGTGGCTCAAGAAGAAGCACATTAAGGTAAAAGTACTAAGTCATGTTTTGCAGACGGGTCAAATACTTATTTTCCTCATTAAAATGCAAATCAATTTATAACATTTTTTGCATGCGTTTTTCTGGATTTTGTTGTTGTTATTCTGTCTCTCACTGTTCAAATAAACCATTAAAATGATAGACTGATCATTTATTTGTCAATGGGCAAACGTAATCAGCAGGGGATCAAATACTTTTCCCCCCCTCACTGTATATGTTCCACTTTCTCTGAATCACACGCTGTTGCGGGAAGCAAACATCTAAAAATAAAACTAGTGACGGACGGTGCTGCAGCTCCACTCAGCATAATAGCAGTTCCTGCATCGAATCTCTCCGTCTACTACCATCGGACAGCTGAGACACTTTTAATCCCAGAGTGAATCTGACTTGCTGCGGACTCGCTGGCTAAAAAAAATTATCTAATATAAATGTCTGTCTTCCTGCCTGTTCGAACACTATATATATCTGTGTCCCAAATGGCACCCTATTTCCCATGGATCCTGGTCAAAATTAGTGCACTATAAAAAGGGAATGCACCGAAAGGTCGCTGGTTCTAATCCCTGAGCCGACTAGGTGAAAAATGTGTCGATATGCCCTTGAGCAAGGCACTTAACCCTAATTGCTCCTGTAAGTCGCTCTGGATAAGAGTGTCTGCTAAATGACTAAAAATGTAAGACGTGAAGTTTTAATGTCCTCCTATAGTAAAGCTGCCAGCACAACCTTCTGCTAGCCTATTGGTTAAGAATCAAGCAGGAGAGACCAAGAGCCCTTTTCAATCCAAGTCAATCCCCAGGTTTCCTGGGCTATCTGTTTTCAATCTAAATCAATCCCCAGGTTTCCTGGGCTATCTGTTTTCAATCTAAATCAATCCCCAGGTTTCCTGGGCTATCTGTTTTCAATCTAAATCAATCCCCAGGTTTCCTGGGCTATCTGTTTTCAATCCAAGTCAATCCCCAGGTTTCCTGGGCTAGTTGTTTTCAATCTAAATCAATCCCCAGGTTTCCTGGGCTATCTGTTTTCAATCTAAATCAATCCCCAGGTTTCCTGGGCTATCTGTTTTCAATCTAAATCAATCCCCAGGTTTCCTGGGCTATCTGTTTTAAATCCAAATCAATCCCCAGGTTTCCTGGGCTATCTGTTTTCAATCTAAATCAATCCCCAGGTTTCCTGGGCTATCTGTTTTCAATCCAAATCAATCCCCAGGTTTCCTGGGCTAGCTGGAGAGCATGTTGGAATTACCGAGTTTTATTTTTAGACTTTTAAAGCTGCAATACGTAACTTGTTTTTTTCCCCCCACAGCGGTTTAGATGGTACCGCTGTGATTATCTAGACTATACATTGCTTGTTTTGTCACAAACTGAAATTAGGCGCACTATTCAAATTTTTGCAACCAGGAAATGGCGGAGCGATTTCTGCATATTGCACTTTTAACTTTGATTTCCTGTTGCTGAGTATGTCGAAATGTCTTTGATTGAATAATCGCCAAGACTGTTCCAATGGAATGCCACTTCCAAGCCCTAAGGGTTGGGTTTTCACTATTGTGAACACAGGCCAAGCATTTTTTTCACTTCCTCAAACAAATGTCCACCGCAGAATGACTCAGTCACTGACTGACACACAGTACAAAACACACACACAGAATTTGTGTTTAGTCACTGATAAAGTCAGTCAGGTAGCATCTGTGTGTGTGTGTGTGTGTGTGTGTGTGTGTGTGTGTGTGTGTGTGTGTGTGTGTGTGTGTGTGTGTGTGAGATTGGGAATAGGCATTTGACAGTATGGGTCAACAGAGACCAGAGCAGGAAGATAGCCTCTGATGTGAAAGTGGAACTAGAAATGTTGAACAACTGGGGAAAAACATTAAACCAGCTAGCTACTGTTTAAACACGGAACTGAATATAAATGAGTTCGCTGTGGTCGCACTAAGAACACAGCTACAATGGGTTGCATCCCAAATGGCACCCTATTCCCTATCTAGTGCACTACTGGTCAAAAGTAGCACACTATATAGGGAATACGGTGCCATTTGGGATGCACTCAATGACTGAGGGTCAATCTCAATAGGCTGAAAGCATTACTGCTCTGGGTTGAAGTAGCCTCAAGGAATGGATTTTAGGACCCAATGTCATCTAAATGTCAATCCAATGTTATGTCATCTCATGCCAATGTAACGTCATGCAGATGCTTGTAAAGGAAAACAGGGGGACATTTTGAAGCCCACGTCTAAGAGATATGCTCCATCTCTGTAGTTCTAATGAGCTCATTCTTTAGGCCTAGGTCTGCCTTCTCTCATGTTTTTTCTATCCGTTAAAAAGGTCCTACAAAAACCCTATAAATATTCAAATCTGGGGATGGATTCATCTGGACTGTAGGGGTGTGGAGGTGAGAGGATTCATCTGGACTGTAGGGGTGTGGAGGGGAGAGGATTCATCTGGCCTGTAGGGGTGTGGAGGTGAGAGGATTCATCTGGACTGTAGGGGTGTGGAGGTGAGAGTGAGAGTCATTTCCTATCATCCCTCTCAGGTTGCGTCTGAAATGACCTTATTTTGACCAGGGAATTGGGTGTAAATTCGGACGTAGCATCTCCGATATATTCCTGTCTGGGCTGACAAATTGAGGTGCGTCTCCATTCAACTCTTCGATCGTGTTTGTTTGTTCGCCGTTAGGAAAACCTCACGTTACATCTAACCTGTGCCGTCTTCGCCAGGGCTAACTGTCGCCCGGCTGCCATGGCAACGGAGGGGAGTAAAGCGCTAGCTGGGAAGAAGCAGGGCGCCAGAGCTTTAATGGAAGAGTATCAACACTGTGTTTAACAACACTAGGACTGAATGAACTGAAGACAAACACACAGTGGAATTGAGGATTGTCATTGGTTGTTAGTCCTGGTTTCAAGGAGTACTGGGACAAGGAAAACAAACTAGGTGTGTCCCAAATGGCAAAATATTCCCTATTTAGTGTACTACCCAGGTCCTGGCCAAAAGTAGTGCACTATATAGGGAATAGGGTGCCATTTGGGACAGATACCCCTAGACTCCTGGTTTCATAGTGTAGTAACCCTTATTACAGGTGGACTCAAATCTGGGCCTCCAAGTCCACAGACAGCACTTCTGGTTTCCATCATTCCCCTCTAAGGTGTGTGTTGTGGGTCCCAGGGGACTTACCTCTGCAACCTTCGGAGGGACCCCATCTCCCAGTACCTCTCTGTAGAAGCACTGTTGGGCCATGTAGTAGGACAGGCCGCTGGTCCTCTTAAAGGCATCCTTCAGCCGCTTCAACTCCACATCAGTTACTAAAGAGAGAGAGAGAGAGAGAGAGGAGAGAGAGAGAGGAGAGAGAGAGAGAGAAGAGAGAGAGAGAGAGAGAGAGAGAGAGAGAGAGAGAGAGAGAGAGAGAGAGACATTTAAAGAGGGTCAATTAACGTCAGGTTAAAGACAAAGGTGTCCTAAACCAAAGGGGAATTTGGGGAGAGTAAGCTGATCCTATTGGTGTCACAGGCAGCATCCCCATTATTTAGTGCACTACTGTTGACCAACGCCCTACGGAATAGGGTGCCATTTGGGAAGTACTTTTTGTCTACAGGCAACTTTTGCCCAGAGGAGCCAGCAGTGCAGTACAGGTCTGCTGAGCCCTGTCAGCCAGCAGCAACACCGACACCGCAGGTCTGACAGAAAGATCATCAACACCTCTCCACTGCTCCCGCACCCTTCTGCCTGCTAGGCTGTTCCTTCAGCAGAGTGATGACTGCAGGGGCACTCAGTGCTCACACACACCAAGGTTTCCGTTAGGACAACACGACCTGCAAGATTTTAAATTTACCAGATATTTGAGAAATTTACCGGACATCCATATGCATTGGGAGTGTAACGCATTAGGGCGTCCACCCTCGGTGCTCAAAATCACATTTAGATGATTGTAATTAAATTTTAACACAATAGAAATGAGCCTGTAAAGTTGTAATAACATAAAGTAGAACGATGTTCTTATACCAACATGACAGGTTTTATTGAAAAGCAAAACATAGTCCGTTACGTCTTCATCCCTGCTATAAATCACAAATGAATATCATTTAAAAATTTAAAATTTAAAATTTGGCCTAGAAGAACAAGTCTCCTACACAATAATAAAACACTTCAAAATATTATATTTGTTTATAAACTCAGCAAAAAAAAAGAAACGTCCTCTCACTGTCAACTGCGTTTATTTTCAGCAAACATAACATACTTAAATATTTGTACGAACATAACAAGATTCAACAACTGAGACAAACTGAACAAGTTCCACAGACATGTGACTAACAGAAATGGAATAATGTGTCCCTGAACAAAGGGGGTTACAGTCAGTATCTGGTGTGGCCACCAGCTGCATTAAGTACTGCAGTGCATCTCCTCCTCATGGACTGCACCAGATTTGCCAGTTCTTGCTGTGAGATGTTACCCCACTCTTCCACCAAGGCACCTGCAAGTTCCCGGACATTTCTGGGGGGAATGGCCCTAGCCCTCACCCTTCGATCCAACAGGTCACAGACGTGCTCAATGGGATTGAGATCCGGACTCTTCGCTGGCCATAGCAGAACACTGACATTCCTGTCTTGCAGGAAATCAAGCACAGAATGAGCAGTATGGCTGGTGGCATTGTCATGCTGGAGGGTCACGTCAGGATGAGCCTGCAGGAAGGGAGGAGGATGTCTTCCCTGTAACACACAGCGTTGAGATTGCCTGCAATGACAACAAGCTCAATCCGATGATGCTGTGAACACACCGCCCCAGACCATGATGGACCCTCCACCTCCAAATCGATCCCGCTCCAGAGTACAGGCCTCGGTGTAACGCTCATTCCTTCGACGATAAATGCGAATCCGACCATCACCCCTGGTGAGACAAAACCGCGACTCGTCAGTGAAGAGCACTTTTTGCCAGTCCTGTCTGATCCAGCGACGGTGGGTTTGTGCCCATAGGCGACATTGTTGCCGGTGATGTCTGGTGAGGACCTGCCTTACAACAGGCCTACAAGCCCTCAGTCCAGCCTCTCTCAGCCTATTGCGGACAGTCTAAACACTGATGGAGGGATTGTGCGTTCCTGGTGCAACTCGGGCAGTTGTTGTTGCCATCCTGTACCTGTCCCGCAGGTGTGATGTTCGGATGTACCGATCATGTGCAGGTGTTGTTACACGTGGTCTGCCACTGCGAGGACGATCAGCTGTCTGTCCTGTCTCCCTATAGCGCTGTCTTAGGCGTCTCACAGTACGGACATTGCAATTTATTGCCCTGGCCACATCTGCAGTCCTCATGCCTCCTTGCAGCATGCCTAAGGCACGTTCACGCAGATGAGCAGGGACCCTGGGCATCTTTCTTTTGGTGTTTTTCAGAGTCAGTAGAAAGGCCTCTTTAGTGTCCTAAGTTTTCATAACTGTGACCTTAATTGCCTACCGTCTGTAAACTGTTAGTGTCTTAACGACCGTTCCACAGGTGCATGTTCATTAATTGTTTATGGTTCATTGAACAAGCATGGGGAAACAGTGTTTAAACCCTTTACAATGAAGATCTGTGAAGAAATATGGATTTTTATGAATTATCTTTGAAAGACAGGGTCCTGAAAAAGGGGCGTTTCTTTTTTTGCTGAGTTTATAATTAGCGAACGACCTGTCCTAAAGGCTATTTGGATGAACATTTTAAATTAATAAATAACAAAATACAGCTGTTTTCAAATACAATCTCTCTAATCTAATTTAGCCTAGGCATGAACATTTTAATTATGCCTAATCAATAACACAACATGGCTGTCTAGGAACACCAGGGCTGGCCATGGCTAGAAGGGATACAGCTTTTGTAAAATGAATGTCAGATTTTCCTTTTGATAGGTTAGGAGAATTAACGTAGCAGGTTAGGAGAATTAGGTTAAAGTTAGGTGAAGGGGGAGGTTAGGGTTAGCTATAAGTGCTAAAAATATCCTACTTTTGATGTTAATTTGACAAAAGCTGGATCCCTTCTAGCCGTGACCATGCCGGCCCGCCCCATTCCCACTGTGACCCAGCACCACGGTAGTGGAAAGAGGACATCCTAAGCGGCCACACAATGAAGAAATTATAAAACTCATGTTGGACAATCAAATTCGATCTGTAAATAAACGAAATTCGTTGAGGCTGGTTCATTGAGACAAAAATTATTTTACAATGCTCCTGTGAAACAAGGCCGTTTCCAAGTGTTCCTGAATAAGCTCAACTGAAACGCACCAATTGCACATGATACACATCATTACTCTGCTCTAGTCTATCAATCCATTCCAAATCATTATACTATACATGGACACAGGGGCGGCAGCAGACCTGCTAGGACCGGGCCTGACCAACGCAATCATTTGCCTCTAATTGGCCTGCTCAAAGTGAGCCGCTGCTGTTGGGAGTCCAACTCCTTGGAGCAGCTTGATGCACATCAGCCTCGCTACTTTGTCCTCAGGAAGGAGCGATCTGGAGGCTGCCTTTCCTCTGTTTTGGAGAAAGAATCCCCTCTCGGAGGGCACACTGGAAACAGGGATAATCAACACAATCTTCACCAACTTTGTCCAGTCCGGGTACACGAGGACCTTGTCGGGGTACACGAGGACCTTGTCGGGGTACACGAGGACCTTGCGTCTTCTGCGTGAGTAATATTAGAAACACACACACCCTACACGAATGTTTCAGCAGCTTGAGGATTTATTAGCCTAGTAACCAACCACTTCTCTCCCCTAGGAAAGGTAGTAACCTAGTAACCAACCACCTCTCTCCCCTAGGAAGGTACTGTAGTAACCTAGTAACCAACCACCTCTCTCCCCTAGGAAGGTACTGTAGTAACCTAGTAACAACCACTTCTCTCCCCTAGGAAGGTACTGTAGCAACCTAGTAACCAACCACCTCTCTCCCCTAGGAAGGTACTGTAGTAACCTAGTAACCAACCACCTCTCTCCCCTAGGAAGGTACTGTAGTAACCTAGTAACCAACCACTTCTCTCCCCTAGGAAGGTACTGTAGTAACCTAGTAACCAACCACTTCTCTCCCTAGGAAGGTACTGCAGTAACTAGTAACCAACCACCTCTCTCCCTAGAAGGTACTGTAGTAACCTATAACCAACCACCTCTCTCCCCTAGGAAGGTACTGTAGTAACCTAGTAACCAACCACCTCTCCCCCTAGGAAGGTACTGTAGTAACCTAGTAACCAACCACTTCCTCTCCCCTAGAAGGTACTGTAGCAACCTAGTAACCAACCACCTCTCTCCCCTAGGAAGGTACTGTAGTAACCTAGTAACCAACCACCTCTCTCCCCTAGGAAGGTACTGTAGTAACCTAGTAACCAACCACTTCTCTCCCCTAGGAAGGTACTGTAGTAACCTATAACCAACCACTTCTCTCCCCTAGGAAGGTACTGCAGTAACCTAGTAACCAACCACCTCTCTCCCCTAGGAAGGTACTGAGTAACCTAGTAACCAACCACCTCTCTCCCCTAGGAAGGTACTGTAGTAACCTAGTAACCAACCACCCTCTCTCCCCTAGGAAGGTACTGTAGTAACCTAGTAACCAACCACCTCTCTCCCCCTAGGAAGGTACTGTAGTAACCTAGTAAACCAACCACCTCTCTCCCCTAGGAAGGTACTGTAGTAACCTAGTAACCAACCACTTCTCTCCCCTAGGAAGGTACTGTAGTAACCTAGTAACCAACCACTTCTCTCCCCTAGGAAGGTACTGTAGTAACCTAGTAACCAACCACCTCTCTCCCCTAGGAAGGTACTGTAGTAACCTAGTAACCAACCACCTCTCTCCCCTAGGAAGGTACTGTAGTAACCTAGTAACCAACCACCTCTCTCCCCGTTTCAGTTCCTATTCCTGCTCATAGAATAGTCCATTATAAACCCAGTAGCGTGTCACACCATCACCGGTGTTAAACCCCCACTCACACAGGGTCAAGGATGTGTGTGTGTGTGTGTGTGTGTGTGTGTGTGGTGTCTCCAAAGGCAGCAGTGCTGTGACCGACTCCATAAAGTGTCTCAGTCTCTATCAGCACTCTTACTCCGAGACGCTTCGTGGATACAGGCCCTGATGCCCACAGAGCCGGTGATGCCCAGCAACAGAGACCGACTGTTTATCCTAGAAATACAAGGAGGTGACTCCGTCTAGTCAGAAGGTATAAATACATGTTTCTGTGAATTGTATGTGTTTGCAGCTACAACACCCAGTGTGGTGAATAAATCTAGTTGGAGCTTTTCTCGGTGTCCGCCTGGATTATTGTACCAGAAACTTTCAGCATGAAAGCCTACACCAGGGTTGTGTTTCAGTATTAAAGTCTACACCAGGGTTGTGTTTCAGCATGAAAGCCTACACCAGGGTTGTGTTTCAGTATTAAAGCCTACACCAGGGTTGTGTTTCAGTCTGAAAGCCTACACCAGGGTTGTGTTTTCAGCATTAAAGCCTACACCATGGTTGTGTTTCAGTATTAAAGCCTACACCAGGGTTGGTTGTTTCAGTCTGAAAGCCTACACCATGGGTTGTGTTTCAGTCTGAAAGCCTACACCAGGGTTGTGTTTCAGTCTGAAAGCCTACACCAGGGTTGTGTTTCAGTCTGAAAGCCTACACCAGGGTTGTGTTTCAGTATGAAAGCCTACACCAGGGTTGTGTTTCAGTATTAAAGCCTACACCAGGGTTGTGTTTCAGTATTAAAGCCTACACCAGGGTTGTTTCAGCATTAAAGCCTACACCAGGGTTGTGTTTCAGTCTTAAAGCCTACACCAGGGTTGTGTTTCAGCATTAAAGCCTACACCAGGGTTGTGTTTCAGCATTAAAGCCTACACCAGGGTTGTGTTTCAGTATTAAAGCCTACACCAGGGTTGTGTTTCAGTATGAAAGCCTACACCAGGGTTGTGTTTCAGTATTAAAGCCTACACCAGGGTTGTGTTTCAGTATTAAAGCCTACACCAGGGTTGTGTTTCAGCATGAAAGCCTACACCAGGGTTGTGTTTCAGTATTAAAGCCTACACCAGGGTTGTGTTTCAGTATTAAAGCCTACACCAGGGTTGTGTTTCAGCATGAAAGCCTACACCAGGGTTGTGTTTCAGCATGAAAGCCTACACCAGGGTTGTGTTTCAGTATTAAAGCCTACACCAGGGTTGTGTTTCACACTGAAAGCCTACACCAGGGTTGTGTTTCAGTCTGAAAGCCTACACCAGGGTTGCGTCGTCAGCCATTTTGAGCTAGGCTACTCACTCTTCAGACCTCCCTCCCTCCCTCAGCTGTCAATCTGTTAGTCCACTGCCTTCTTTTAAAAGGGCTGGGCCGGATGTGTGGAAAATAATATCAGCAGTCGTCGTCTCTCTGTCCATCTCCCGCTCTTCCTGAGTCCTCCAGGGTCGTCAAGGGTCAATTAAACAAGGCTGATTTGCATATATTCACACAGACAAGGCAGCTGCATTTGACATCCCAATACCACCATATACCATCCATATACCATCCCTATTACATCCATAGCCTAATACATCTATATTCCATCCCATACCACATATTACCATCTATATTACCTCCTTATTACATCCATACCTCCCATATCCATCTATATTGACCACCCATTTACACTAACCATCCTAGCCGCTATAGTAGACACCCCGCTGCAGACGGATGTGGTTATTAAACACATGCAGAAAGAGAGGCTCGCTCGCTTGGGGTACGGCAGGGAATTGAATTACGGGATTCATTTAGGCGACTGATTATTGTTCCCTCCATGGGTGAAAAAAAAAAAAGAATGAATCAAAAACAAATTAAAAAAGCAGCAGCCTCAAAGTCAGATGTTTATAAATCTGGGACTGGAAGGAGGAAAAGTGTGTCGCTCATATTAAAATGAGTGGATGTGTGAGTGTGACCCAGTGTTTCAGCACGGTAGGAATAGTGGCTGATCTTGCAGGTTGAAATGCTAATAGAAAAGTCAGCAGGTAGAGAACAGAATCATGTGTAGAATACTTTTATCAAAGACGTAAGGACATAGGCTAGTCCTGAAATACACCACGGCCTAATCTATACTAAAGGCGTGGGGATGGGAGACAGGTAGTATTGCAGGCTGTGCTCTTCTTCTCCTCTGATGACAAGTGATGACAGTATAATCTAAGCAAACTGTTAAAAGCCGAAGATTTCAGCGGTGTCAAAAGCTTACAAATAACGTGGGGGTGGAAAACCATTTGAACTGGTTTGAAGAGCACAGAGAGACAGAGACAGAGACAGAGAGAGAGGAAGATAGAGAGAGAGAGAGAGAGAGAGAGAGAGAGAGAGACTCTTGACAGTACAGCTCCTTGAAATGACAGCCGCAGAAAATCACCTGGCTGCTTCAGCCTTCACAACATGCTTTCAATTACGCCATCTTCTCTCAGAAGCTGAGAGGATACACAACTTCAGAGGAAAGGGGTGGAGGTCGGGGTTGTTTTTGGATTCTACCGTGCTGCCCTAGAATACTACAAGCAACCACGTTCCAAACTCTATTATCTTGAATTTAGTCCGTCTTGAATTCTGAGGAGAAACTTAAATTTTACACTATCCAAATACTAGGAAGATAAATGCTCATACAGGTCACCGCTAGTGGCCCCTGGCTGATAAATAACCATGGATCCAGCGGTCCGGTCAGGTTTAAGAGCTCATTATCTTGCCTGTATTCAGAGCACCTTCACCCCGCTGAACCCCGGGGCCGTGGGCTCGCAGCTCGCTCCATCTTAACAGCGACACGGATTTTAAATGAACGGACTCCCAGCGGAGCCTGTCAGACAAACCAGTTAGATCCATGGCAACGCAGTCAATCATGATGAAGTAGTGTAGTGCCCGTCGCTAAGGAGGGGAGGAGCTGGAACGAGGCTGGGCAGGCATGTAACGGATTAGGCTACGCCCCAACCAAGCCTTGCTTCCCCCTTACTGCCTGACAGGATTTGACCTGGACATTTTGGGAGGCTAAGGGAATTGCTTTTGTGCATTCTGTATATGAAAGCGATTGGAATCCCCATATCCCTCTACAGGATATCAAAACAGGACTAAGTGACCTAGGTACCCTCATTACATTTCTCTAAGGGTCAGATAGGTCTGTGTTGATTTAACACCAATGACTTTGGCTAAATAATAGTCAAATGGTGGCAGATGGATGAACAAATTAGCAAGGAAAACAAAGTGGTACACTAGTTGTATTGTTGCAATGCTGCGACGTAACGGTTGTATTCTTGGACACTGGGCCACATTAACTGCAGTGGACCAGTGGGCCACCATTCAGCACTGGAGGAACAATGGACAATGGACCTGATTCTCCAGGACCCCTCCCACCCCACAAAAAACACATTCACCGTGGACAACTGACATTCATATG